AGTAGATGAAAACAAAAGTGAACAATCACATACAGGATTCAGTCCCTAACTGCCTAAGATGTCGTGCAATTATTCCCTGCACCGGGACCGTGGTCAAGTCGTGCCACGAAGGCATAAAACAGCTTCCAAATTCCAACGAATTAGATGCACAAAATGTTTCACCTCACCAAAAACCAAAGAGACCACACCTGCAGGAAAAGGACATGCCTGTTGCCTTTTGTCGTGAATGTCATGTTGAACTTCAAATGCGCAAGCTGCAGAGAAAAAAGGTTTCTGGTAGTTCGAAGTGGCTTCACTCAATAGAGATGCTTTCACTGGGTTCATAAAGGACAGCCGGAAGCGCGGGACATCACAAAAGGTGCAAAACGGAAAGGCCAGCTGTTGCACATTACGTAAACGAATTACCAAATTAAAATGTGTGAATTCAGAGTTCAAGACTGTCAACACTCACCCTGAAAAGGGTTGCCTCCAATGGCTCCATGGCACCATGTCGGAGCCACCATGGAAATCACACTAGACAAGAATGGATCATTATATGATCCGGCAGGAACTGAATCCTGAAACATGCAAACCAGCCTAGATCGTTAGATTAGTAAAGGAGCCACATGAGGTACTTCTCGAAAACGATGTAGGGCATCCAATGTTGTCAAACGAAGTCAAAACCAGAATCCATAGAGTTTTAACCAGCATGTTGAGAATCCACAATAATGTTTCGGCGATTGTTTCCCAAAATAACCCAAAGTTCGTCGGCGACATGATCTCGGCGAAAATATGTCAAAAAATCATAATACTGTCGGCGATATGGTTTCGGCGAAAATCTGAGGAAGGTTCTGATGCATGCAATACAGATTGTGGCAACCGTGTAGATTCGAAACAATGCAGTGTAACAGCTTGATCAACAGTTGAAACCAAATTTTGCAGGTACACAGAGTTGATCAGACTCTGCTTCCAGCACAAGTGGATAGCTTCGTTGGGTGCAGTCTCCACTGTGCTCTGCACCCCCCTGCAAACTAGTGAAAACCAATCAGAAGTTTTACATCTGTTCAGATGGTACACACACACACACCCGGCCGGAGCCGGGTCAACCCTGAAAGGCAAGAGGAAAAGAAAAAGCGGACACAAACGACGGGCAGAAGGCCAAAAACAGCGCAGGGGGGGAAGGGAACAAACGGACCTCCAGAACCAACCTACACGGCGAAACGGACCTAACCGGCACAGGGCACACACCTAAACCCCACGACACATTACAGAGGGGCACGGGGGAGAAATTAGGGACCGAATGGGGGACTAGTTGGTGATGCCACACCTGGAAGGCATGTACCTGCCTGGATCATCTGTCATGTTGCATGTTGCATCAGAAACATGAGCATCAGCGAAAAAAGAGGTTTCTGGCCGTTCGGATCGGCTTCGCTAGAGTAAAGATGAAAGTTCCAAGGTGTGGCAAAGACAGCAAGAGCGGCGAGACGTTGCAAAAAGTGGAGAACGGAATGGCCGACTGTTTCACTTTACCTAAACGAATTACCAGGTTAAATTGCGTAAATTCGGAAGTCAAGTCTGTCCACATTCTCCCTAAAAAGGGATGCCTCAATTGGATCCATGGCACCATGTCGGAGTCACCATGGAAATCACACTAGACAAGAAATGGATCATTGAAGTGATCCGTTGGGAACTGAATCCCCTCACATGCAGTTAGATTAGAAACAATGACCTAAGGTCCGGTTCTTGGCTTAGCCGGTTGCCATTGACGATAAACTGGAAAATTGCAGGTACTTTTGCACGACGGCCGTTTGCACACACACAATATATATATACACATACATGTACTATGCCAATGCTTGCGGCTTAATCTCTCGCTTCTGATGGTCAAATGATCCTGTTACTTGATCAACCTCAACGTCCATTTGTAAACATGCCATCTTGGCTGGTTCAATCATCAATTCTCTGCATTTATATACATGTTAATGAACACTCCAATTTTCACCCAGGTGTGAGTCCGAAATTTCCTCCTCACCTTGTTCCCAAGATGGCTATATCGTGTTGTTCAAATCCATTCAATGGATTGGTAGGAACAATTCACAGGAAACCATGGCTTTTAACATGGACGGTTTCCTGTAAATTTTCCCTTCAACCCATTCTGAGATAGTTTCAACACTCATCTCCAAAAGACCACCAGAGTTATGAAAGTCAGGGATCATGATCCCAATTATTGGGATGACTGGAATCAACTGCGCCATTCAAAAGTACCCCCATCCCATCTCATTATACTAGCTACTAGTTGGTTGATAGATTTCGGTTAGTTCATAGTTCCCAAGTATAATTCCTTACAATAACCAATCAACTCATTTTCCAATGCTATCCCCATGTTTTTCCTAGCTAAATCCCCTTATGATAAACCATCAACCATCATTTTGAGCTCTATCATGTTATATATGTATATCTCTATATACATGTTTGGTTTGATGGTTAAAACCCACATAACTCCTTATGATATCTTATAGTAATATCCAATGAAACTAGGATATTTGTTCCTTAAATCCCCATGGTTTTCCTCTTAATCCCATGGTTTGGTGAAGGCGCTGGATGGTCTGCACGTCGTTCACCTGGCGCATCAAGCGACCCTCCGCATCTCCTTGGACGTCCGCAGAAGGTAATAGGTGAAAGACTCTAAAATATTCATACTATACTGTAAGATATATACCATGTATCTAGAATTATTTATTATGAGTGTATGTGTATGCATGTACATATATACATATACACATACATATACACATACATATACATATACATGTACATGTACAGGTACGTGTACGTGTACGTGTACACATACATATACATATACATATACATGTACATGTACATGTACATGTACTACCATATACCGTATCCTATATCCAAACACCGTCTATGTAGTGTGGCCTATATTTTCTGGTTTGATCATAAACATCCATCACATCATTGCCCAGCCATGGTCCATACTATCTTGATAGTAAAGAATCAGCGAATCAGTGTCAAACAGAATTAAAGGGAAACAAAACAGTTCTTGGCTCACAAAGGAAATCCGTGGTTTCCCCTAGGAATTCCACAGCTGATTTGAGGTCATGAAATTGATGCTCCCGACACCAGATCAGATATACTATGTTCAATGTTCATGTATGTTTTGTGAGGATGGGAAAACGGTAGGTCCATTCAAGGGCGCTGAGCATATATATATATATTATTTAAATTTATATATGGTACATATAAGATCATATAAAAAGATACAGATACCCTCTGGTAAACTAACATAGCTATTGAAAATGGCCATTTATAGTGGATTTTCCCATTAAAAATAGCTATTTTCCATAGCTATGTTAGTTTACCAGAGGGTAAACATATATGCCAAGCTCCCGACGTTCAAAACGAGGTCGGGCCAAGGGGCTCAGCTCTTGCTGCTGCGCTCGGGCGGTGCTGTCCAAGCGCTCCAGGACGCTGCCCAGCTCCGTCTGCGGATAGATCACCAAGCATAGTGGGGATGGTTCGTAACGGTTAGTTAGTGTTATGGGTTTATAACCATACATACATACACTGGGGATGATTGGAATCCTACCCATTAAAATGGTGATGACTTGGGTATGGTTTATGAAGTTGGCTTTACCATGGTTTACCCTCTGGTAATTTAACGTAGCTATTGAACATGGCCATTTATAGTGGATTTACCCATTAATAATGGCCATTTTCAATAGCTATGTTAAATTACCAGAGGGTAGTTAGTGTTATGGGTTTAAAACCAAACATTATCAGCCTTATTTAGTAACGGTTAGTAGTGAATAGTGGTTGTAGTGGTTACCCTGGTAAACTAACAGTTTGCTATGGGAAATAACTATTTCGAATGGGTAAATCATCTATAAATGGTTCATTTTACAAAGCTATGTTAAATTACCAGAGGGTAGTGGTCCTGGTTACTTACTAACATCAGTATAAGTGTTTAATAAATGTCGATGATCATGATATGGGAATAATGATATGGGAATAATTGTGGGGATTATTTACAGTATATATATAGGAAGTTCGTCTTACATATATACATTTCTCCACTATGGTAAATAATAGTCAATAGTCCCCAATATGGTGGGGATCAGATGATAATGATTATGTATATATATAGAGTTCCCCAAAATTGATGATAATGATTAATGATGGTGATTTATGTTAATGATAATGGTTAATAAGGGCTAACAATCCAGTATATCATATGGGAAGTAGAATGAGACAATGATCATGGGATGATAATGAGATTATGTATGACAATTAATGATGGTTAATAGTCGGGGTGGTTAGCACCGATTCTATAGTGGGGATGGCTAGTAATTAGTTAGTTACTAACATCAGTAAGCGGTTAATAAATGTTGATACATGTTAACCCTTGCCTAGGAACCGGGGCTATACCCCATAGAATCATATTTAGATGGGCCATGGAGTTAGTGAATGGATTATACTTGGGATCTAGTTAGTGGTTTATAACCCAGTTACCAACCAGTTAGCTAAGCCCATGGCCCATCTAAGCGGGGATATATTGATTGTACTATGAAGAAAAAATACCTGGTGGACAATGGAATATACAAAATAATGGAATACTAGTTAAACCGGTATACTATAATCATAGAAGCCATAGGTAGCTTTCACAAGAATCTAAGAAGCTATGAGATATGCACTAATTTCATAAAAGTCATAAAGCACCTTTCTGAATCACTTTGCCATATATAAGTATCATTCTATATTATATATAGCTACAGGCTAACTCCTCTATCCCATCCTCAAACCTCCGGCCCGTTTATACATATATATATATAATGATGATGTATACTACAAATAACAATGATATATTGATTATATATATATATAACATTATTATGATCATTATATATCCATTATTATCATCCGTCATAATCATCCTTAGTAATAGTGGCTTTATTCTAATGATGTATAATTATATACACTATATAGCTACTATATAGCTACTATGCCATCATCCTCCATCCCATCACCTTGGCCAGCGCCAGCTTTCGCTCCAACTCGTCCGCCAACTTCTGCTGCGCCTCGAGGCCGTCCGCCAGGCGCCGCGCCACGCCGCGCGTCTCGCCGTCCATCTCGATGCTGAAGTCGCGCTTGGCCTGGACTGAAAGATATATGGTAAAGTAAAGAGAGCGGGGGACTGTGAGAGTGCGTTTTTTTAGCCATACTGCTTCGAGATCTCATTTCATCTATGTATTGTGGAAGAACTGTTGGTTTCAAGTGTGTACGGTGCATATCCAAGTTTGCACATCAGGCAACAAGAAACTACAAGGACCTGAAAGCAAACCCGTCAAACAGCTGAGACGATTTAATTTGGTAGAAATATGCCAAAATACGGCCAGTTTTGCTATGAAATATTGTATTGTATTGAGCCAATGAATATCAGAGAGAAATTTCAATTTTGGCCGGTTGCGCCATGCTCAAATGATAGAGTTGTGTTTGCTTCTATGTTGCATGTCTTTATAGCAAGCGTGAACAAGAGGAAACAGCACTTTTGATTGACAGAAGATTTCATTTTGTCCCCAAGCAATACTGCATCTTCCTGACAGAGTTCCCTACATCCAAGAGAGATATTGTATGTTTTGCAAGGGCAAGCATACTGTTCCCTTGAAAAATGTTGTATTTCTAAACCCTAGTACAGTATCAACTCAGATTTTACGGGCAACAGCATGCTCCTCATAAGCCATCGTTGAAAATTTAAAAGAATGTGGCATTCCTTGAGGAAGTTGTGGCATACCTCTATGCAACATTCTTCTACAGAAGAGGCAACATTCCTTTGAGAAGTGTAAAACAAGACCTGAGATGTGCATAGCATTCCTTTAGAACAAGTGCGTTTTGTCCTCCATATATTTTAATAAAAATATGTCATTCCTTCCATAGAGACCTCTGTAGTAGTCCTTTTAGAGTTAGCATGTCTTTAAGATATAATTTGCATATACATTAGTGTTTTTCAAAAAAAACAGCATTCCTTTCAGACAGTACTTGATGGTTTCATGAAATATTGATTTAAACAATGGTGTTATGCAATATTATTTCGGAAAAAATATATTATTCATTTGGAAAATACAATATCATTTTCAAATAACATAATTCACTGTATGATAAATTTAAATATGTATATATATATACATATACAATTATACACAATATTCCTTTCAAAAGTGTGTAGCATCCCTTTGAGAAAGTAGCCTTCAAGACACACAGCGGTGCTTGTGAAAGAGTATGGCTGAGTATGGTATGATTTAAGTTCTTGTACCAAAGGATACCCTTTCATATATATATATACACAACAATCCCTTTGAAAGAGGGTGATGTTTCTGTAAGAAAACGCAATGCATGGAATTGTCATTTGAAGAAGTATAGTATTCCTTGCAGAAAGTATAGTATAGCATTGTTTTGAAAGGGTATTCTTGAATAAGCAGTTGCACTTTAAGGGACCATGGTATTCATTGAGGACAGTGCAGCATGCCTTTATGCAAGTTTCCTGGATAAGGATGCAATATATTTGTTCATTCCTTTGAAAAGAGGGTGGTATTCCTTGGTCAGAAGAAAACTACACAAACAGAGCCACCACCTCCAGAAAATAGAAAATAAGGCCTTCCTCTTCTAGAAAATAAGAAATAAGGTTTCCCCCCCAGAAAGCCGCCCTACGTGAACATGAGTCGGAAGTTCACGGAGAAGCAAATGTTCCGTAGCAGACATGGCATCTGCTACGCGCATGTTATCCCCCTCCACAGCCATCAGGACACAGGCAAGGATGCAGACTGGTTTTGCAAAGTTTGACTAAGAGCCAAAAGAAGATAGAGTAGGTCAAAGGTTAGCAAAACAAAAAAAAAAACAAGAAAACCAAGAAGACCTACTGGGCCAGAGTGCCTGTGACATAGGGTTTGTTTTTTTGTGTTTTTTTTTTGGTTTTTTTTTGGTTTGTTTTTTGTTTTTGGTCTTTTGGTTTTTTGTTTGTTCTTTAGTTTTGCACGCTTCAAGGGAAGGATGCAGAGAGTTGAGTCTTGTCGTTTGTTTTTTTTCTGCCAGTCAATGCATATGTCAAAACAGAGAATGTGTAAAGAGGAGTGCAAAAAGCGCACTCTCCTGATCCCCTGTTCTGAAAGTAAATACATATATGTACATATAATAGTAAATCGTAAAAATATATACATATATGTATGTACATATGTATATATATATACATAAATGTATGTATATGAATATCTGTGTATATATATGTGTGTGCATAATATATTTTAATATAGTAAATCATATATATTTATATGAATATATTGATTATTGCATTAATAATAAAATTGATATGAAAGAAAAATATATATATATTAGCCTGAAACTAGTCAATGTTTGTGGTGGACACGAATCTTCCAAACCCCAATTTGGCATACAGTAATTTGGCGAGGTCTAGGTTAATTCGTGTGCGGATATTATACTCTGGATCGTGTAATGATAGATATATAGTATAGTATACTATCCAATACCACCTATATTGTTCGATAGTATACGAAATATATGGATATGTGTACAGTATATATATATATTTGTGCGTGGGTAACAATATAGATGTACTGGATGCTTGAATGAAAATGTTCAGTTAATTTTGGGTTTGATACTCAACTTTGGTCAAGCTTTTACCCACCCAACCATGTGAGAACAAGCACTTTGGAAGCTTGCCCCATCATGCTTGACGCACCTGCCTTAAGGGACACAGGCCTTTTATCAAGCCACCAGCACCATGCGGTGGAGAAAGCAAAAGTGTTTGATGCGTTTGCTGCATTTCAAACAGCTTGTACTAACCTTATTCTATACATAGTATTATACATATATTCAATATTATGTGGGAATATTACAGTAACTGCATAGCATATAGATTATATATACATGGATATATACTAACCAATATCATATCTACATGCAGTTGTAGCACAATAGACATCAATATTGCTAAAATTGTTGTATAGAGATTGTACACTAATGGATATATATAGCATATTATACGTTCTATTACTATCTACTTAGATGTATGTTGTATCATAGATCTTATATATATATAATGGAATATAGCTTATATAATATATTTGTTTATTTACGTAATCTATGTACATATTGTATATCATACATAGATAGTAGTTTTTCTTGACATACCGTATATATAATATCAAATAATATAGTAACTATATATAGTAAACTGGAAATTGTGTAAACATATAATATGTATACAGTATATACATTGGTCTAGCCAGTTGGTTTATACATAGGTTAACTAGGATGTATGGTAGAGATTATCTTTGCTGATGGGGTTATAAACCAACAAACATGACTAGGTCACCAAGGGGCCTTGGGCTACTCCTAACAGGGCTACTCCTAAAAGTTGCTATCCTTTCGACAAAAAAAAACTCAAAACATCCAAAATGTCTCAACAATAAACAGCAAACAGTCCAAACAAACCTTTAGAAAAATCAATCCAACAATTTCAAACAAAAAATAACAAACAAATATGAAAGAAATCAAACAATAAAAAAGAAAAATAAACAAATTCAAAAAAAACAAAAAGATAAGTGGAACAAACAAGTAAAAAAAAACAGATCCAAATCCAAAAAAGAAAACCTTCCAACAAAAAGTAAAAGAAAACAAAACCAATACAGTATCTCAAAAATTATCATAAAAACTTTATATGATCCTGTTAAATAATCTAAAAAAGATCTAAAAAGTATGAATGATTTTTGGGGGGAATAAAAAATAACTATTTGGAATGAAGAGGAATTATTTGGAATGAAATTGAATTATTTGGAATTAGTTAAAATGAATGAAAAGGAATTTTCTAGGAGTGCCCCTACAAGGAATATCCCCCTCCACAGACAAGACTAGGGGCCATCCTTGTAACATTATTAGTATGCTATAAAATCATAATTATGATATATTCGGGGATATTTCATCTATCCGATCATCCGTATATTCATTTATTTGCTACAAAGATAGTCGTCTATAAGATATGTTATATATTCTAAACCAATCAGGACTTATTTACGAATGGGTATGTGTGAAATTTGGAACTCCCAAATAGTCCAAGCTTGATCATCAAATTCTCCGTCAAACTTGCCATAAATCTGGGTGGTCCGACTTGAAATCACACCCAATCTGATAGACAAGATTCCCATGTTTGATGGCAAAAACGAACTCGCTCAGTTGTGTCCACATTGGCTATGTGTGTAGCACCTAAAAAGAAAGAAAGAAAGATCCACTCCAAAAATATATGGTGATAAATTGAGCTTGTTCTACTTGTTTTGGGCTTGCTATCAATCCACATGTCAGATATGTTTTTTGGGGATGAGTCTAACCATCATTACAGGCTTCGGTCGCAATGAGGTTGTTATATCTTGCCCAGATATATCCAGCCATTATTAACTATTTTTTATTAACCATATCATGAACCACATTTAACCACATTTAACCGCATTTAACCACATTTAACCACATTTAACCAATATAAATCCATATATATATATATATCCCACATTTCTTCAACTCCTGTCCCCTGGATGGACCTCGTGAATCTCCTGAGACAACTTGGCGGAGTCGCGAAGCCATGCGGCTTGCGCCTGACCCGTGAGCTTCTTCCCATGGAATTCATTGGGATGTGATGGGAGCTTAACCAACTGAAACATGGGGGAATTCAGATGAATTGAAACTTGAACACTATGAATATCTATGAACTGAGTAGTATATGTAGTATGACTCCCTAAAAAAAGTTAGTCAACTGGGCTGTTGAGCACGAGTTGGATGTGGGCATTCGGGGATGGGTCAGAATGGAAATGAGAATTGATCATCCCAACGAAGGATGATGCTCCCATTAGAAAAAAACTTGCTAGAAATGGGGCGTGTGACTCACATTTTCAGATACGCCAAATGTATGAAACCACATGAAGGAAGCAAAGAAGTCGTAGTTTCACTTCCAGTCCTGCCTTCTCTAGGGCGAGACCGAGGCGAGACAACACTGTCCTTCATGGCGTTTGGGGTCATGGGAGGTACCTCCATGTGTGGCAAGTGTTCCTTAAAAATATATGACGATCAAACGATCACTATATAACCATGAAAATTTGGTACCCTAATGTAAGACCATCTTAAATGTTGGTAGATTTAAAGAAAAAGTGCAGTACACTCGACATCATGGATCGTACAAGGCAAAAATAGGCAGTTCATTTTGATGTTCCCTCAAATCAATTCTGGCAAACTGTCAGAAATCAGAAACATATCAGCTCGAGATCGTCTTCACGAGCTGGGACGGAAAGTAAAAATTATGTGGCAAACCCAAGGCGAAATGCCATAGTCACGATCCCAGGAACCATAGAAGGGAGAAATTCTGAATCATCCTATTGTTAGGGGTATGTATACCAGTTCAGAAATGCCAAACGGGGATGGCTTATGGTTTTGGGATGTTTGGGGTTTATCTCATTACTTGAAATACCCTCTAGTTATTTAACATAGCCATGGTATAGATGGCCCATAGAAATAGATGGTTTACCTATTAGCATGGTGGATCTTTCCATGGCAAACTGTGAATGTCATAACCAGATGGTACCGACTGTAACAAACTAGACATCTAGAGGCTTCCGCAAGACTAGTCCCGTCTTATCTTCCAACATCCCGTTCAGTGACATAGCGCATGAGTGGTCAAAATCCTTCAGTTACATTGTGTATGCGTATAATATACGTATATACATTCAATATATATATATATTGTTTTTTGGTATATCTCAGATATCCCGCATAATTCCCGCATTATATTATACATGTGTAATCACGCGCAGCATGTATATATTCCATTATATTCCCATTTCTGCTTGTTCATTTCCCATACATTTTCTGCATCGCTATCTCCCCCCAGTGCCATGCCATGTTGCTCATATCGCTGTTGTTCTTCGATCCGCGTGTTCTGCTCTGTTTGAAGCGCGCGCTCCGTGTCAGCCAGTTTCGCCTGGCTCAGTTGGTTGGGGACACGATACAGGAAACCATTGGAAACCATGAGTTTTTACCGGAAAATGTGAAGTTTTTCGGATTTAAATGGTTCAATCCATGAGTCTTACCAGCAAATCTTCGATTTTTGTGGGAGTGTTGGAGTTACCTCAATATTCATGTGTACAAATAGTGTCAGTGAACGGGTAAAGAAACGCTGCAGCAACCACCATACAGATCCATACCATGAACCAGAATCACAAGAAGCGCATACTACCCATTCACTGGCCTATGTAAAAAAAAAACGTGAATTGCGTGGAAATTCCCAGGTTGTAACAGGCAAGCCATCAGTTCATGGCAAAGTTTGGATACCCTGGAAACCACAAATTGTCCATGATTCGCTGGTTGCTATATTTAATTTCCTATGAAACGGGCACGGAGATTGACCCTCCAATTTACATCAATTTACCAAGGTTGACCAACCATCATGTCATCCGACATGTAATTAAACCTTGTTTCATCCAATGGGTGGCAGAAGATATTGGTTCATACCCTCCGGTTTCATCAGCTCCATGGCTGGAAAACCCACCATTGATATAGATCCATCCATAGTTTGATGAGCTTCCCATTAAACAATTTATAGGGGATGTTTTACCCAGACACCTTTCATTACCAAAGGGTAACCACAATATAATATAATCATTGTGAACCATTTTTTAACCACAACCATTATCAAGCATCATCATTTACTCCTAACGAGTATTCACGTGTATTAACCACTATTAAGCCTTAAAAATCGTACCGAATTGCTGAAGTTAATCACAAACGTTTGCGCCACCTGAAGCTGTTCGTGGCGAAGCTGCATCTGGCTCCAGAACTCCTGGAGCGGAGGTGGCTGCAGCTTTAAGGGGGTACCCGGGTACGATGGTAATTGGTATTGGTACCCCTCAATCAAACAGCGTCTATAGGGGTTTATTCATCCAGGCTTGCCATGATGTATATATGTATAAATATACTGTATATATATACTATACAATGATACAATGTGTTTATATGATATATCTATGTACATCATCCATATACAATAAAGGCGAAGAACGGCAGTATTGCACTTTTTGAAAAATTGTGATCATCCCACTACAACCGGAATTCTCTGGTTGATGGTCCAATTTTCGGATGCTATAAGCTGCAGTATCATCAGAACATCAAGAATCAAGATATTGCCATATCAGGTACGTTCTTGACACACTTTCCAAAATGACAATATTGTACAAAACAGCAAATACCGCGAAAACCCGACCTTCGGCACAATGCCCCGGTCCTGCTTGTCTTCTTCACGCTGCTGTTGCTGGAGAGATCTCAATTGCAAGGCTATCTTGTCCTGCGAAGCTTTACCACATTTGATATTACAACAACGTCCCCATAGAATCCCTCAGCTCAACGAGTTTCCTGTCAACTGTCAATCCCTAGGCCTTCATGGGAATATTGGGAGCACCACAGTTCATTTCCATCAAATTCGCATCGGCCAATAATTTAATAAAAATCCCCTAGTCCTTACTTCATCACCATTCTACGCTTCCAAAGCGATAGATCCCCTCTCAACATTCTACTGATCCTACTTAGTAGCACGTCCCCAACAAGTTGTGCAGTCATCATCGGTCGGGCTTTTGTATGTACGTACCACCTTTCAACTTCCAATGGCAGCAGCCAACGCGCAGTGTTCAAATGAGCAGTGTTCGAAACCTTGTGTCATCCCTCTATACTGGCTGGTTGATAGGGATTCCCCGTTCATGGATTGTGATAACCAATATATTGGTTAGTATAACCCCCGAACTAGTCATCAACTAGCCGGGGCTTAGCAGCCACTGCTCAATTGGGATCTTTCATGGGGACTTCACTAACTAAAATATGGGGAAATGATTGAATTCATCATCAAACATCATATTTCCAGTGGATTGTTTCGAAGGAACGTCACAACGGAAACGCATGGTTTATCATCATTTGTGAATGATATTCCATATCTTTCAGAGTTAAGACCCAATAAATCCCCCAACCCTAATGTGGAAACCCAACAATAAACCTACCATTTGGGGATGGTAAACATAGCACCCATTGATGGTGATGACTTGGGGATGGTTAAAAAGAAATTGTGTCTACCACAATTGGTTTGTAAAATAGTGAAATTATGTTAAATGGGGATTCAACCCATCTTCAGATAGATGTAGAGCCCAGATGCTCCATGTAGAGCCCAGAATGATGGTGAAATCGACCTATGACATCCCCAATCCAAGGTTGTTTCTCTCCCTCCTTGGAGTCCAAGATCTGCTGCAAGGCGCTAAGGCTGGACTTGCACTCCACCACCACGCCCTGATGCCTTGGCATGGTGCTGGGCTCCGACAGAGCTCCTGGGGAAGAGAAACATCAACATATTTAGCATACGTACTAAACATATATGGCAACCAAAGAAAATGGAAGTTGGTAAGATCCCAACTTCCAAGTAATGAAAAATTGAATCTGTTCTATCCTTTTTGGGGGTTGCGATACTGTAATACTATTCGACAGAATCAAGCCAAGCACTTTTGAAAGCTACCTGGGCCAGGAACAAGTCGGATGACAAGTGTGTCAATGTACAAAATTGGGTCAATATACCTCAAATATACATCTATAGACACAATATTTTATGGCATATACAAAATAGCATATAGATGTATAGACAAATATTCTCTACAACATTGTCTATACATCTATATGCTAGATACTTACATTCTCAACATATCTATAACATATATCAACATAGACACTATCTATAGTGCATTATACAGGATGGGGCCCAAAAATAGCTAAGTTGCCTTATAAGTGACTTATATAACATGACTTAACTATGTTTTTTTATGGTAGATATAACTATAGTTAATCGGGTTTATAAACCAACTTATAACTGGCATCTACTAGATAATTAACTCTCAACATATCTAAAAAATCTATACATAGACTTAGACACTATAAATATCTATAATATCTTATACATATGACTATAGTACTGTATATATATATATATTCCAGACAGAAATTCACCTCCACCGAGGCCCCCCGAGGCGCCCAAGGCCAAGCTGCTCCTCCCAAAGCTCTCGGGCCGCACTCAAGGCGGCTTCCTGGACGCCTGGCGAAGAATCCCAGCAGAAAATCCTGGGAGATTAGCAGCCATGGAAGATATATTTATGTTATATTATATTGCATTATATCAAATTATATTCAATTACATTAAGTTACACTAAAAACTATATTATATAATAATATATATATGACAGATATATATATATATTATATATATACATAGTAATACAGTAACACAGTATGTTAATATATCTTCAATGTAGTACAGTAAATAACTGAACATCACTCTGAATCATGATGATAACAATGGGAGACTATAGCTAAATGTATATATAGCAACCCTCAAAAAGATGAGTCGAAACTAAGTAAAATCCTAACAAGAAGGTGATAAATCATGATCAATCACAGGTCTATCTTTTTTGTCGCTATGCATATGGTGGTTTCCTAAGTCATAGGGCTACCATGACTATGGAAACCTCCACCGTTAACCGAGGTCCACCTCCAAGTCGTTTGTTGCAGATCTCCTCGTTCTCATCACACCTCTTGGCGCAGTCTGCCCCACATTTGTAGAGCCTCGGCCGCATGGCGGATCCTGTAGGAGTGAGTACCCTCTGGCAAACATACAAAAAACTATGGAAAATCACCATGTTTAATGCGTAAATCAACTATTTCTATGGCCATGTTCAATAGATATTATGTTAATTTACCGGAGGGTAAATGTTTAGAAAGATCGATATGTGCACATTTTGAAGTTGAATCTAGCGAATCATAGCCCACATAAATATCATAGATCCGAATGACTTTCATAGACACAGGTAAATTACATGTCATCATCATGCCCAGTGTTACTTCCAAATATAAGGGTTAAACATGGTTAAACCGTTAAATGGACAGTCTCCATAAATCCGTTAAATCCCAAATGGGACATCAATTAGCAGCATCCTGGCTTATCAAATGTTGATGAGAAGATCCTCAAAATTCATCCTGGTTACTGTCTGGTAATCAAACACGTGGCTTACAATACGTTATAAATCTATATAAATCTGATGATTTGCAGGCAAGATATCTTCAAGCATCCTCCTCATCATCTCATCATCCAACTCATGAGATCAGGCAAATCATCATCCTGATTACCCTCTACTAATTTATCTTAAGATATGAGTGATACTATTAGTGATATATATATATATATGTGTGTGTTCAGATATAGTAATGTAGTATTACATAGTTCAATCTCATCATCCAATTCAAGATATGATATTATAAATCTATATAATTCGGATGATTGGCAAAAAAAAAACTTCAAAGATCATCCCCATCATCATCCCATTACATTTTAGATATACATTATTTATATATATATACATATATATGGTTGTTGATCAAAATTCCTTTATCCCGGAACGGCCATTCTTCGCGAATAAAATTTTTACTTTCGCGAAGCTTTCGCAAACTCCATGTTTATCTTTCGCGGGGCCCATGTTGGCCAACAACACCTCTTATGAAGATTCGTTCACCACCTGCCAAATTACGCCAGAGAATCACGGATCACTTCTTGGTAGCCTTTTAAACATGCAGCTAGCATCACGGAGTCCCTTCTCAGGACAGCTTTTTTTGCAAAGTTTACTGGCCCACCCCCTTCAACATGCACTTTGACTTTCGCCCGCTCTTTCGCATAACTTTCGCGGAACTTTCGCGAAATTATCCCTATTCACAGACCCCGGCCATCAGCAGGGGGTGCACTGAAGGAAAAGCGAAGACCAGGGGCCTTGGTGTTTGGCTCTCGCAAAGCCTCACTTTTGGAAACTTGGCTACTGCTACTCGCATTCTCTGGTGCCCTTCTCCTGCCGGACCCCGGGCGGCAGCGGGTTGGCAGCCCTTTACATTTAATGATTATAATACCCAACTTTCGCGAAACTTTCGCCAAATAAAATTTTACTTTCGCGAACTCGAAAAAAAACTTTCGCGAGGATTTCCAACATATCATGCACGGCTTTCGCAAGTAAAACTCCTTACAAGGACCTTTAGATCAATCACCATATATATATACATAGTAGATAGATAATGATACATACTCGCTGCAGAGAGTCCTCCACGTTCAACATCTCGGCCCAGTTTGATATAGATAGATATAGTCTAGTATAAAATGATAGATAATGGCAGATAGGTAATGATAGATATAGATAGATATAGATCATTATCTATCTATATATACCATAGATATTCCATAGATATAATTTCCATAGATATACCATAGATATACCATAGATATCCAATATAAAATGTCCACACTCCTCCGTTTCGTTCCCAAGGCGCATCTTCCGCATCTCTTCCAGCTCCTCCCGCAGCTGCAACACCGAGGGCTCCAGCGCCGCGAAGCGCGCCTCCGAACGAACCAGGTCCTGCGGGCTGTCTGCGGCCCGGTGGCCCCGGTGCCAACGGGGCGGCCCCAGAAGTGGATAGAAGTGAGTGATGTCACCCTTCATATCCATCTGAGGATGAAAATTCTTGGAGATTATTGGAGATGACCCCATAGAATCTCACCACAACTAGCCAAATTCATGCCAAGTCTGGCAACATCGCCCACTGCCCGGTGCCGAGCCTTCTCTTCCTGCACTGCGTTCTGCTGCAACTGCTGCTGCTGCGAGCTTTGCTGCTGCTGCTGCCGGCTGTTCAGCTCGTAGACCATGTCGCTGAGCCTTGGCTTCGATCCAGAGACAGAGAAGATATGGAGGTGTCTGAACATGACGGCCAAATTCATAAAATGATGATTGACAAATTGATATGGGATTTGAGCATCAAAAATCAAAATGGTGATTTAGGATGATTTTGGTGGGATATAATGGGATATGAGCAGCAACATGATATGTTGGTGTGTCTGAAAATGAGGAATATCCATGAAATAGCTAGGGAGAAAATGATGTATCATAGGACCTGGGGGTATTCTATTTTCACTCAGACATAATATGGGTATAAAATCAGAATTGGATACTCACGACGGAATGATAAACTCAAATTTAGTCATTTTGTTGTCCCCTGGGCCTTAAATGTGTAAGTACTTTGACCATACCCACATGACGAAATGAGCATGGTAGTATTGTTCGACTTGAGATAATAACGACTTGTGGTGCCACTGATTCAGTCAATCAAAAGTTATGATATAACCAACAACAATGACAGGTATGTTTTAAACTCATAAAACTGGAAGTTCAACAAGCAATCATAAACCGTCCAGTCGATGGAGTCAATTCTTCACAATTACTACTAGTTGCTGAAATTCCTACCCCGACCCAAATAATCATCATGAATATTGTGAATAATTTCAGTATCCAATATACATACTCATATCATCAGTGTGATCCTCGTATTCTATAATCATTGGAAACAATTCTCCTATCCGAATGACTTAAGTGTATAATGTGTAATTCATCCTGTGTATACATGTCATTAACTACCATCGGTCATCATTGGACACATTACTACCTCCCTCCAAATCATTAAAGCTATGTTCCAAAGAATATTATATGTATATATATGTGTGTGTGCAACATATTATCACTATATATACCTATATGCTAATTGTCGAATATTGTAGAATGTCATAGATAATATCCCCAAACTAAATCATCCATCCCATCCAGTCATCATCATCCCAAACTTTGCTTGTCCATTGGCTGATTGGTTTTTCATCTGCTTCCGTCGTATCAAATCCCAATTTCGTGTTTAAATTACGGTAACTACGGTAACTACATTTAAATATTTTAGACTACCTCCGGGAAGGTTTTCATTGGCCCGCCCGGCCATTTAAACATATGGCATCCAATTCATTTAAACATACGGTAACTACATTAAAATATACGAACTGGTATTTTATACTACCTCCTGGGCCTCGCGGTCTGGCCGGCCATCCACATAAATGTCGTTACAATAGGTAAAACCCTCAATTGTTCACGGTTGAACCCCTCAATTCCCATCGTTTCACAAAAAATATCGTATACAAATAAGCTATATCCCATCAACATCCCCATACAACATCCCCATATATCATAAAATTATCCAATCCTCCAACATCTCCAACCATCAGGTCCTCCATCAACATCCCCATAATACATCAAATAGCATCAAAATCGGCAGTTGGAAAGTCAAAAAATATAAAACCAGCCATCCAGCCATCCCTACCATCCCAACCATCCGACTGCAGCGGTCCAAGCATCTGCTTCAGCTGCTCCGCCGTCTCCGCCCCCAGCTGCACCCGTTGCTGCGCCTCGCGCTCCAGCCCCGCGCGTAGCACTTCCAGGTTGGCCGACGCTGAGGCGGCGACCGCCGCGGCGCCCATGGCAGCTTCACCAGTGCCTGGGGACGTTTGGAGGGGAAGGTTGTGGTTTAAGCCACTAGGAATACAGTAGGTTCTTTAATAAGCACAACTTGGGGGTTCCATAGATGTTTAAATTCATCACTCAAAAAAATTGATGTTCCGTGATGTAACTCATACAAAATGAGTCGTGGCGGAGTTGCATCATTAAAGTTTGTGGCCTCATATGGTTTAACCAGCAAGGAAAATCAAGAAATGGGGAACGCATCAGCAGAAATGGACGAACAGTAATTTGAGAAACAATAGACGGGGATTTAGCCAACAAGAAAAATGTAACATTATTTCACCCGGGACTTAAGAATTGATCAACATATCAACAAGGAATTGCATTTCACCCATCATACACCCTTGCAGCATCTTTCATAATTGAATTAATTGGGCATATCCCAACATATCCCTGCCATTGAATCATCCACTTACTATCCACTTACTAGTAGACTAGATTGTTACAAGATTCAGGACTCTTCCCGATTTTCTCAAGGGGCAGTCATCTCCCGGATTTCAAAGAGATTCACTCCATTAATTTGTTTATATATATATATTATAAATAACTATACAATATCTATGACTTCAAATTCAACAGCCATTTGAATCCAGCCTTAAATCCCCATCCCTAGCGCCAACAGCTATGCCATGGCCAGGGCACCTCCCCCGTTGCCGCCGGCGCCCTGAAGCGCCCCTGCCGACACCGCGTTCATGAGACCTTGCAGCTGTGCTGCGGCCTGGGCCATTTGACCCTCCAACTCCTGGCAGGGAAATCGGATTTTCAGAATGGGAAAGAGTGCAAGAGATCTGGTTGTTGTTGTTGTTGTTGTTGGTGGTGTTGCTGTTGCTGTTGTTGTTGTTGGTGTTGCTGTTGTTGTTGTTGTTGTTGGTGTTGCTGTTGTTGTTGTTGTTGTTATGGTTGTTGTTGTTGTTGTTGTTGGTGTTGGTGTTGGTGTTGCAGTTGTTGTTGTTGTTGTTGTTGTTGGTGTTGCTGTTGTTGTTGTGGTTATGGTTGTTGTTGTTGTTGGTGGTGGTGGTGGTGGTGGTGTTGCTGTTGTTGTTGTTGTTGTTGTGGTTATGGTTGTTGTTGTTGTTGCTGTTGTTGTTGTTGTGGTTATGGTTGTTGTTGTTGTTGTTGTTGCTGTTGTTGTTGTTGTTGTTGTTGTGGTTATGGTTGTTGTTGTTGTTGTTGGTGGTGGTGTTGCTGTGTTTGTTGTTGTTGTGGTTATGGTTGTTGTTGTTGTTGTTGTTGGTGTTGCTGTTGTTGTTGTTGTGGTTATGGTTGTTGTTGTTGTTGTTGTTGTTGTTGGTGTTGCTGTTGTTGTTGTTGTTGTGGTTATGGTTGTTGTTGTTGTTGGTGGTGGTGGTGGTGTTGCTGTTGTTGTTGTTGTGGTTATGGTTGTTGTTGTTGTTGTTGCTGTTGTTGTTGTTGTGGTTATGGTTGTTGTTGTTGTTGTTGTTGTTGTTGTTGTTTTGGTTATGGTTGTTGTTGTTGTTGTCGTTGTGGTTATGGTTGTTGTTGTTGTTGTTGTCGTTGTCGTTGTGGTTATGGTTGTTGTTGTTGTTGTTGTGGTTATGGTTTGTGTTGTTGTTGTTGTTGTTGTTGTTGTTGTGGTTGTTGTGGTTGTTGTTGTTGTTCTTGTTGTTGTTGTTGTTGTTGTTGTTGTTGTTGTTGTTGTTGTTGTTGTTGTTGTTGTTGTTGTCGTTGTCGTCGTCGATGATGATGTTGTTGGTGATGTTGTTGTTGATGTTGTTGTTGATGTAGTTGATGTTGTTGGTTGTTGTTGTTGTTGTTGCTGCTGCTGTTGTTGTTGTTGTTTGTTGTTGTTGTTGTTGTTGTTGTTGTTGTTGTTGTTGTTGTTGTTGTTGTTGTTGTTGTTGTTGTTGTGGTTATGGTTTGTGTTGTTGTTGTTGTTGTCGTTGTGGTTATGGTTGTTGTTGTTGTTGTTGTCGTTGTGGTTATGGTTGTTGTTGTTGTTGTTGTTGTCGTCGTTGTGGTTATGGTTGTTGTTGTTGTTGTCGTTGTGGTTATGGTTGTTGTTGTTGTTGTGGTTATGGTTGTTGTTGTTGTTGTTGTGGTTGTGGTTATGGTTTGTGTTGTTGTTGTTGTTGTCGTTGTGGTTATGGTTGTTGTTGTTGTTGTTGTGGTTATGGTTTGTGTTGTTGTTGTTGTTGTTGTCGTTGTGGTTATGGTTGTTGTTGTTGTTGTCGTTGTGGTTATGGTTGTTGTTGTTGTTGTTGTTGTTGTTGTTGTTGTTGTTGTTGTTGTTGTGGTTATGGTTTGTGTTGTTGTTGTTGTTGTCGTTGTGGTTATGGTTGTTGTTGTTGTTGTTGTCGTTGTGGTTATGGTTGTTGTTGTTGTTGTTGTTGTCGTCGTTGTGGTTATGGTTGTTGTTGTTGTTGTCGTTGTGGTTATGGTTGTTGTTGTTGTTGTCGTTGTTGTCGTTGTGGTTATGGTGGTTGTTGTTGTTGTTGTTGTTCTTGTTGTTGTTGTTGTTGTTGTTGTTGTTGTTGTTGTTGTTGTTGTTGTTGTTGTTGTTGTGTGTGTTTGTGTGTTTGTGTGTTTGTGTGTTTGTTTGTTTGTTTGTTTGTTTGTTTGTTTGTTTGTTTGTTTGTTTCGAATGAAGAGTTGTGGGGAAGTTGGGATAAATTGGGATTGTGTTAGCATACAAAATAAAGCGTATTTGATGATATTTATCCTAGACATGGAAACATTACATGAAACAAAGAATTGGCAATATGGAATAGTTGCTCAAAATTGGGAATTGAGACTGTCAAGAAACATGAAAAAATTGATTAAAAAAATTGGGTATGTTTCCAATCAAAGATGGATGTCGAATGAGACAAAACTGTCTTAGTCCAACTGGGAATCAAGAGTTGTGCTCTTCACCATGGTGAAGCCGGGGAACTGACCTAAGAGAAAAAATAACCTTTTGGTCATGAAAAGCAGTTTGCGAACTGGAAAATCGCCATTTGTAGATGAATTATATAATTCCCCATTAAAATGGTGATTGTCCACGGCTATGTTGAATTAAAAGGGGGTTACAACGTTTGATTGACTATCAACCCAATTTCAAGACTTGTCTGCGTCACTTCGCTGCTGAGCCAAGTCTCTGCGTTTCGCGTTGCTACAAAGAGCTCCGTGCATTGAGACCGCTGTACAGGCCCATCCTACAGATCCTATCAACTGCTTCTGAGCTCAAGGAGTCAGATAGTGGACTCACATGACTTAAGATTCAGAGATCATGTCGAGACCTTAAATTCAGAAAAACCACCGCAATCAAAAGTGACGCCACGCTGTCCCGGGCCTCACAAATCGCTACAGATTCCTGGGATTAGTCATGAAGGAATCATCCGAGAAGGCTCTTCACTTCCTCTTCACTGAGCTTTGGATGGGTCATTTGCGGCTTTCATCTGCTCCACCTTCAAGGCAATACCGGCCTTTGCTCCAGGTTCAATAAAAGGACTTGCAAGCAAGCCCTCCAGCGTTGCCTGCTCTGCACTGGCACCATTGGCTCTGGCTCTGTCTGCCGCTTGCTGTTCCATCTTTGCAGCCTGACACACGGCACCTTCAGCCAAGCTTGCAGCTGTGTCTACCATTCCAACCACTGGATGACTGCCAGCGGCAGTGGCACGAGCGACGCTCTCGGTAGCAGTCCTTTCACGCTCACAAGTGGCGCTAGCATAGGCTCCAGCAAAAGCACTCGCACCTCCAAACCCGGCGTGCTTCAATGACAATCCCTTCAAGAAATCCGGAATAGAGGACATTCTGCCACTAGTCCCTAGAATCAATAAGCGTGGGGCTGGGCGCCAACCTGGAGCTGAAATGGCTTCAGCACCCTCCTTTATGTACTAATCCCTTCAAAAAGCTGAAATCGGCCTTCTAAAAAACCTGGGTCTTCCCATAGAGCTTACCTTGCCATTTGCACAATGACAAGACAACTCTTGAAAACGCATGCATTTTGTCGGCAACAGACACATTTGTCCAACAAATCCCCAACGTTCATCATATCTTAGGACATGTTCCAGTCCCGGCTTGGAGGGTCATTGCACTTCGTAACTAGTTCGTAAGTTCATAACGATGGTTATTGGATAAATCCCTATTTCCATGTATTTACCAGTGATTAATGGATAAACTAATAGGGATTTCATGGTTAATGGTTAATGGATATCCATGATTATCCCATGTATTTATAAGATTTTAGAAGTGGGTAAACAACATAACTTATAAAATCTATAATGGGATTATTAAGATTATAATTTTTATATGATTTTATTATAAGAGAATGGTCAATAGAGGTTATAACTCAGCCCTCCACTCTCCTGCAGACGCATGTCTTGCTTCTGCCCTTGAGCTGTCAGGTTCCCTACGAGCCGCTGCTGCTGCGAAGCCGTCTCTTGCAGCGACACGCGCAACTGTTGGAGTTGCGAATGCAGCTGTTCCTGGCGCTGGGCAGCATGGTCCAAGGAATCCAAATCGCAGTGCATCAAATTCCTTAATTATAATATGTGTTACTATTGGATATATTACTATTAATAATGATGGTCTAAAATTACTATTCATAATTATTCGACATTTACTCAAACACTGCATTCTGAAAATGATGGAGACAACCAACAGCAATCCGGAACTTCAAAGGCCACCCAGGCACATGTTCTCTTTGCACCCAGTCTTTGAAGTGCTTGTCCTACGGCTGGCCGTCCAACACTCTGCACCTTTTAACACTATTGTGTAACTTGAGAAAGGTCCTCCAACAGACTGCCTTTGCAGTTTCTCAGCTTGCTTTTATATAATACTGTATAAGTATAGGAAATAAACTTAGTGAAATAAGCATTCACACACATAATCGTTTAAAGCGTATGCAAAAATGTTTGGCATGGTGCTTCCCTTTGAACCTGCAAAAAACAGCGGGTTAGCAATGCCAAACATGAAAAACAAGGGATCCAGCTCAAACAATATGTCAAAACTATTCAGAAAAATGAAATTTCCCATCATGCCACATCTAACACATATGTTTCTATGTTTTTCTATGTGATTCTATATATATCTATTCTATTAGTAAAAACCAACAATCATCATCATCATCATCAACTTGAAAAGCTTGTTAATATGATGTCGCCGTCGTCCTCATCATCGTCATCATCATCATCATCATCATCACCATCATCATCATCACCATCATTGTCATATGAGTCATAGATAATCATTACTGTGATTCGGAATGATTATAGAAAATATGTCTGAAGAAACTTATCACCATCCAGAATCGTATCCTCAACTGTCCTCATATGTGAATCCTACCAAACAAAAACAAACATCATCAGGAAAAAAAAGTCCGGAACAAAATCATTAATCGCAAAAACAGGTCATCAGTTATAGTCGTTCTTACTTTCAGATTATAGAACATATGTTTTTTCACACATCGCCTTCGCCAGAACTCAAACATACCTGTTGTGTCCACAAAATCAAGTTTAAGTTAAATGAAATCCTATGATCAAAAGAAAAGTCCTTCCTTAAGCACAAAAACAGTGCTAAGAATCTATCATCTGGCTGGGAAACTCCTGCCCCTTGGCTCTCCATTACTCAGATTTTAGGGAATGTGAATACCCAGGCCTCTTTAATCCCATCTTCTTAAGCACTCCCATTCCATGGTCCCAATATGTGATTTCATCCTCCACTAAACATGACTAAATCGTGGTTTTCTGGTGGTTGTTTAATAAATTTCAAAGGCTGAACGGAGGATGGGATTGCTATTTTCTATTAGCTCAGTCCCTATTTGTTATAGTTGAACCACCATTTTCATAGTTAACTTACATGTATGTTGTTCACATTCAACTTAAGTCCATATTTGTGAATAGCTAAGGAAACTATATCCTGGGATGGTTAAACCACCATTTTCTATAAGGTAAGTGAAATCCATAGTTAAACCATCATGTTCATAAGTATACATGTCTTTTTTCATGCTTAAGTTAAGCCACTGTATTTTTCATAGTTAAACCATGTTAAACCTACCATGTTTCCCATGATTTTCTATAGTTAAATCATGTTAAATCACTATAGTCTATGCCACGTTAGCCTACTATGTTCATACACCTATTTTATCATGGTCTTTACAGGACATTTATGGGATGGTTTAAACATTTGGGGGATTCCTAAAATAGGGCTAATTACTCCCAATCATCCAAAACCAGACTATACTTTAAAATTTAGTATTGAAACCCATGGTGATTTGGGGTACCCATATTTTAGGAAACATCCATTTAAATATGTCTAAATTAAACCCATCATTTTCCAACGAAAAAAAAAAAAACAAGTTCCCAACGTCCACCCCGCTCCGACTGCTCGAAGCCAGCGAAGCGCCGCGTAAGCTCCGCGCGCTGCTCCGTGAGGGCGGAGTCCAGGCGACGCTCCAGCCACTCTTTGGCCTACCGGGAGGGACTGGGATGGAGGAGGGTTGGAGGAGCCATTAACAAGAAAATGCTATTTTTGATGGGATTTATATAATAGGATTTCATGGGATTTATATGATTTTGATGGGTTTTGATGGGTTTTGATGGGATTTATATAATAGGATTTCATGGGATTTATATGATTTTGATGGGTTTTGATGGGATTTATATAATGGGATTTCAATAGGATTTCGATGGGAAACTTCTGGTTTTAGGCCATCATGACTCATGACGGATTTATGATGATTGTGCAAAATTACCTTGGGGTAATCCGAGTGACTCCATGTTTACCAACTCGAGGAAGCATTGCAATGGGATTGGGCAGAAGCATGGGAAGCAAGGAAGGGGAGGGGAATGTCAGATAGGTTTCAGGGTTTGAAATTTGCATACCTGGATATGCCACTGCAAGAAGCGGGGTTGGGAGGCTCAGGAAAGTTGACGACAGTTGCTGCTTGACTTAGCACCACATCATCCCTGAAAGCCTGAAACCAAAAAACATGCAACATCATGGAACCATATCCCATAGGATCCATGTATGCTATATATGGTAACATTTACCATCAATATACCCCAAATGTTAGCATATATACCATACATGGATCCTATGGGTATTGTAATATGATTGAACCTAAGTAAATCCTGGAGTTTGAAGAAGCGGTCCCCACAAATGCCATCCACTCGCCCCAGCGCCCACCTCCGCGCCACCATCCACGACCATCCGGGGCCGCAGGTTGGCCTTGAAGTCGCGCCAGTCATTCTCCGGCGCCAGGTTAGGCATCGCCATGGCCGGCATCGGCGAGGGCGCCCAGCCCAGGGGCGGCAGCTGACCGGGGTACCTGGCCGAATGATGTTGGGGGGATCCCTGGGGTCATTGGCTGGGAGCTGCATTATTTTCTCTATGGGAGTGTAGAAGACCAATCAATCCCAATCGATAGATTGAAATTGGGATCATTGGATATCATTTATAATTATCATCCCCAAAATCACCATAAATGAACACACATATCACATATATATATATATATATATTTGTATGTATATACAAATGGGTGGTATTAAACCATCCCCAGTCATGGTAGCTTCAAAAGAACATTAAACCCTTCTCCCTAATATCAAACACCCCAAAAAATATTCAACCATGTAGGGAAATTCCAATCTCCACAGAAAAATTTCCATCATTGGTCCCCACCAACCATAGGGCCGCCACAAACCTATCATTTGGGGATGGTTTATAAAGTTAAAAAACGTCCCCTTTGGTGATGAAGACTGGGGATGAAGGCATGACGGGTGAATCCCATCGCCGGGGCGCTGCATGGGCTCCATCTCCATCTCCGGGCGGCTGGGGAGGCTGCGGCTCTCCCGGCGCCCGCCCTCCTCGCGGCTCTCAGCGCGATGCCGGGGGCCCTGCGACTCCTCGCGGCGGTGCAGCACCTGGCGGAGCCGGAAGGGGATCTTTGCATCCGCTTGTGTCAATAGATGAGATTATAGATTATTATTATAGACTATTATATATATATGGATTATAGATGATTGATTTATTGGTGGTTGAGATATTAGATGATATGAGATTGTTGTGATAATTTTGTGCATCCAATTGTCCAAATTCAGCAAGAGTCCGCAATCCAACTTCATAACCGGCTTATAGCAACCCCCAAAAGCAGAGAAAAGTTGGAATCCGATTGGAATCCTGGAACATATGTGAAAATATATAAACATCTTTATACTCCCTGGTACTTCCTGGAAACACGGTTCTATCTACTTTGGGGCTTGCTATATTGTGAATCCAGTTATTCAAAACTTTGAACGTCCCAAAAAGCGTTAGAAATGAATGAAAAATAGAAACACATCAATGTGTAGAACACTCTCAAGAATGTCCAGATGCGGATCCACTGAAATACCCAAAAACTATACAACCTCCGAAAAAAAAAAATGAACAAATTTATAGAGAAGTTGCTGGAAAACATTGGAAAACCATGGAAAAACCCATCAATTGCTATAGGCACAGACCACAAATGATCCGGTCGTCGTCCATCCGGCAGCCGCCGCTGCCCCGCCGGCGGCAGCTCCTTCGGCGGCGCGCCGCCGGGCGGCCGCGGCGGTAGCGCGGCGCCCAACATGGCGCAATGGCAGGAATGCTGGATGGAAAAAGGGCGAAAATGCGATGAAATATCTAAGTTTAGTTTCTAGTTGACGGAAAAAGAAAATGAAAGTCAAAGTGTCATGCTGGTGTGTTGATGATCCATTCATGTTATGGAGTTGATTTGTATCGTTCTGGGAGGCTTTGGCCCAAGGCATAGGTCGCCTGTTCTCACCTGTCACTGAGGTTTGCTGTGGAAAACTCAGTGAAGTGTCGGCTCCCAACCGTTGGTCCTAACATGTCCTCTAAATGTGTTTGAACCTGCATGCGGCGACCATGGTTGCTCCATTGCAGAGAGTGCATACTCCTGGAATGTTGGAAAATTTTGATTGGGTAAAAATCGCTGTTCATAGCTTGTACAAACTAGCACACACACATGACCAATTCATCGTGGAAACCATGACCATGACGAGGTGGCGAGGTGTGAACACAACTCTAGGGATTGTACCACCATGCTGAGGCAATCCATCACTAGAGGGATGATTGAAAAAATCATGAATAAGCTTTTGGTCGGAAAAAAAGATGGGAAGGCATCCACCTTGGGCCTTGGTTTTCCTTGATCCAACCACCAACATACACCAACATCATGAATTGTTGGCAAAGGGTGTCCTTCCATGTATCCACTTCCATGTATCCACTATGTCCATGGCAAAATCCAACTTTTCGTATCCAAGCTGCTCCCCACTGGGGCGTGCATCCCAGTTCACAAGTGGTTCATAACCCAAATATATTCCCTGTGGAACATTGTAGAACATTGTAGAACTGGGTATTTCATAGCTGCCATAGCTGCCATAGCTGCCATAGCTGCCATAGCTGCCATAGCTGCCATAGCTTGTTTCCTTGGTGATCATCATCCCAAACGGTCGTGGATGGACCACTTGTGATTCCTGGGATGCACCCCGGACAGCATGGCCACCGGACACACGACTGCCTTGCTTCCGCTTGGGCTGGCTCGCCTCACGACTGCCAAGATCTGTTTAGGGAAACTGTTTTGGCGGAAACGATTTGTTGGGAAAATGTTGATTAAATAAGTGCACCACTGAAATTGGTACTTGACCGAAACGGGGATTCAAGCAACAAATATGTTGATTGGCTGAAGCCGAAATCTAAAGGACAGCATGTTCTCTTCACCACAGACCAGTCCTTCAACCAATTCGGCCCAGACTAGCGGGACACTGACTCAGACTTTATGAGATTTGTATAATATTTTAGAAAACCAAACTTGTGGTTTGATGATTATGCAAACCAATAGTCATGGTCTGGGAATGGGAGTGCCAAATTACTGGTATGCATACATATTGATATATCATGTATTATGCATACGATAAAGTGTAGTTTTAGAGCAATATGTGTATACAAGTATGTTTTTTTTCACACATCTGTGGGGTGTTGAGGGCGTGTACACGGGTCACATCACCCAAGTATTGTTTTTGTTCATCTCCGACCGATACTTTTTCAAGTGGCATTCAAAATCCCTAGAACGGGAACATGTTTCTTCACAGATCTGGATATAGTTGAAATATGTTGAAATAACTATAATATCTTACAATAGATATGTTAATATTGTATACCAGCTAAATTTCACACGTACTATGCCACATATATCCACATATTCTATCTGTACCCTCCAGTAATCAAACGTGGTAATGAAAAATCCCCCCATAGATAATCTTCCCAGCGACAAAAACCTCCATAAAAATGGTGGGTTTCCAGCTAGCCACGTTTTATTACCGATCATGACCGGAGGGTAAACCACCAAAAACATGATGCGATATGTCTATTTTTGGATATAATATATATATATATATGTTGGATATACTATACTGTGGATGGGAGAAATCCTGCACCAGTTGGTAGACGGTTTCTCCCAGTATAATCCCATTATTGTCCCAGAGTGTCCAATAGTTACCAACTCGTACAGGATTTTGTCCATCCGCAAAAAAGGGGTGAAGTGTGATTAAGTATCCTCCAGCAAGATCCGCTCAGTTTTTCAACAAATCATCTAAACAGATCTCATGAACTCATCTGCTGGAGGTTTCCCGTAAAAATTTTAGGGGTACCCCTATAGTTATCATGCATTTATAGATAGGATTTTCCATGAAATCCACCATCCAATTGGGCTCCCCCCATGGCCGCGCCTGAGCTTCTTTGGCCAGGTCGATCGAGGACTGCGAACCTCGTCGCAACATCTGCGCCTGGCGGAATGTACCGGGTGGTCAATGGTGGTTGATCAATGGTCAACAGATATTAATAATGGTTAGTAATGGTTAATATACAGTAGTGCTTAATATATACTACTTATATATTACTATAATGGTTAATATATACTACTGGTGGTTAGTAATGGTTAACTGGTTGGTGGTTGACCTACCCCTCTGAAAAATATGAGTTCGTCAGTTGGGATGATTATCGCATATATTATGGAAAATAAAAAATGTTCCAAACCACCAACCAGTTAATATACAGTAACTGCTTAATCATGCTTAATAGTGGTAATTGTTCATAATCCAAGAAAAAGATCATCTTGCAAAATCGCACTTTTAAGTGATGATTTGAAGTTTCTCTGCATCTTTTCAGGGATCAAGATATTTTTTTATTGATGCGAATTCATTAAAAAAAAATGACATGTCCATAACATACGCATGATGTGTTTGTCCATAACCCCCATCACATTGCTTACCTTTAACTGGCCCTTTAACAGGCAAAAATCCCGTGGAGATTGTTGAGCCACCCTTCACCGACCGTCCGTCCTTGGGGATTCTGGTTCCAGGTAAGGATAGAACTTTTGTACAATGGACATATAATATGTATATATATATATATACATATATATATAAACGGGATAATATGTATATATATATACATATACTCATATATATATATGTACTATAATTGGAGTCCTTAGCAAATGTCCTCTCGCAATTCCATTCTTGGCCACTCATCACAACGCCACCAACACAAAACACGCACATGCCCAGATTTCTTTTCACCCTTTTGGTCTTGAACCTGTCTTCGATTAAGACAGGCTCAACCAGCCCTGGCCATTTTGACCACGCAGTTATGGCGCTGGTGGAAACCCCAAACAGGGACGCTAAAGGTACACCGTGCCGGCACAGGGTGGGAAGATCATGGAGTGTAGAACAAGGAGATATGGAGGAAGTATATATGAACATTGGAAGAAATGTAACCACAAATCAACCATTCTGGACAACTCGTCCTAAGAAAACAATGCATATGTGTGTATACTACATATGTACTGGAGCATGTTTTCCCAAGATGCGAAACTTGTCTCGAATTGTCTCACTGATGACAAACTCAAGTTCAAAAATTTGAAGCTATCCCAATCTGTAGAATGGTGCAAGAAAAAACATGCCGTAGAAATTGGTGTCTATTGTCTATGCAACCCATCCAACTACAATCACTAAGGTGTCAACGGATTGGTTTAAGAGAAAATCTACAGGAAACCATGTATTTTACCATGAAATATGGGGGTGTCCTGTTAAATGTCCCTTAAACCCATTGAAAATGTCCCAAGAATGCATGTACTGGAACCAAGAATTTTGAAGACGGGTTTAAACCATGCATTTCCTGTCCATCTAGAATTTGATGTTTTCAAACCATCAGAGACATTTCTTACGGGATCGCCATCCCAGCTGAGAATTTCAGTCATTGAATTCATTCCAATATTCGAAACACCATCAACCAGGAAATGACATTCAAACTATAGATCTTCATCGCAGGTTTCCACAGGTTTCCCGTATCCAAGTACCTTTGTCTTGCACCATGGAAACTTCGCAGCTCACTGGTGGAGCTCACCATGGAAAATACACCAAGAGAGATGACATTGGCACGTTCTGCCCGTTCTGCCAACGTTTGGTCTTAATTGAAACCCAAGAATCAAGTAATTACATGTAATTACAGATTCTGATTCATCCATTGATATCCACATTGTATATATATAATAGAATATCATTGGATTTCTCCGCATTTATATATATATATAAAATCTATACATTGCTATAAATATATATATATCCGCATTTATCATTCAGAAATCCTCTATCATTGGGCCATCGCCCCCGCTCCTGCGAGCTCACCGGGAAGCCAGGGTTACGACATGGTATCATTCGCCACCTCAGCGAAGCGAAGGACACTACCAACCTGCAAAAGATCAGCGGAAATATGGAATACTGTATACGTGTATGTATATCTAGTCTAATTTTAGCATATGTTTATATATGTATATACATGTATATATATGTGTATACATATATATATATATATATATGTACATATATATATATATACACATACATGTGTATATATATATGTAAATATATATGTCTATATATATTTACATATATATGTCTATATATACGTCTATATATATATGTCTATATATATATGTATATATATATGTCTATATATATATATGTCTATATATATGTCTATATATATATATATGTAAGTAGATATATATATATACACGTATGTATTAAATATATATTTGTGTATATATATATGTAAATATGTATATACAATTATGTATATATATTATATGCGTATGCAAATGCAAATATGTGTGTATATATATATGTACATCAACACAATGATACACATGTAACTATATATATACATACATATTATATATATATTACTATACACAAGCATGTCATGTCTTGTATCAACACGTTGGTGTGTTTATGTCCAAATAGTCTATTATATTCTATGATACTCGTGCAGTGACTTTTCAGCCGTTCCCGTCTCAGTTTTGTGACCAGGGGACTCCCATGAAGGCATAATATGTGGCGTTCCAAATCAGATCCTGGCCGTCTGTCATCCAATGCATTACCTCCAGTCCTGGTTTGGAGGTCGGCGAACGTCTCCGTGAGAAATCCCGGAATCGAAAAAATGGGTGTGTCTGGAAATGGCGTATACCTCCTTTTTTATAGCCATTTTAAAAGGGAAAATGATGATTAAATTAACCATATGCTATGGATTTGGGGGACACTATATATTTTCAGACAAAGCCCAATTGTCATTTCCAGTGCAGAAGCAATCTTCCAAAACCAGTTCTGGGGGGCTAGATGTTTAAAGAACTTTCATGGGGACGCAAAGTTTTGGTTGACCGGGTGACCGAAACGACTGACTTTCATCTGATCCCTCAAATCTCTGGCTGTCATGGTGGGCGGGTCTAAGAACGCCCACATCCTTATGCCCCACCCCCCGCATTGCGGGTTGACATGGGCATGGTGTGCTCTAACATGCGGACAATCTTTAATGCTTAAACCATCGTTTTGGAGATGTTTTGGGATAACTTGATGTTCAACCTATTTTGCATCCCTGTTTGGGAAGAATAGAAGGACTGGTTTGGTCACCCCGTATCACGATGCACTAACGTTGGTCGTGTAAAATTGATTATATGTATGTGAGTGAAGGGGTGGTACCTCTCTTTTGTCAACCAGTCAATGGGAAAATCATATCTATGGCGTCTTGCGCGCTGATTGTGAGGGGAAACAAATGTCACGGCCTAAAATTCAGTGTAGTCTGTCCTCCCAAATTTTGTGTGCTGATAAAAATGAATATTCCCCATTTACATCTCTGCAGTTTCTGCATGAACAAATATGTAGAATAAGTGGTGATGATACAAGAAAGATAGGGTGCTTGAATGAAATCAAGTGCGCCTTGCGCATTGATTCAGAAAGATTGGTGATACGAAAGATGGGTAGTACTGAACCATCTATACCCTCTCAAAACTAGCATGGAGCGTCCAAGGTGCCGACCCTCCAAAACTGGCTTAACATTACCTCCCAAGTACTCCAATCATATCCGATTATACATGGGCGAACTATATCACCACTTTCTAAGTTACTAACCATTGTAATGTATTCCTTATGATATTATATTGTTATATGACCCATATACATATATATTTATACACACGTATATGTATATGTATATATATATATACATATATATATATACAATATATATATATACAATATATATATACATATATATATATATAGATATATATATATATAGATATATATATAGATATATCTAAATCCCCATTCAAGTATCCATTTAAATCTCCGTTGTGCCGGGTATATTCCAATTCTGTCCTGAATAACCCCATCGATCTCCCGATGATAGGTGGATAAATTATAATAGTTCACCAACCTGAATAGCTATATCCCCATTAGTATCACTATCTGGATAAACTAGAAATACTTCACCATTAATATCTCTGGATGATCACCAGTTGTCCCCATGAATATCATTAATATCACCATATATCTCGCCATGAAGCTCCCGATTCTAATCCCTAATCTCCATCATTACAAAAAAAACTAACAATCCCCATTTCTCCCCATTGTGATACTTCACCAACCTGAGAATAAAAGAAATCATACTTCACCATTACTATACATATATATATATATTTATACATATTATACATATATATTTATTTATTTATTTATTTATTTATAATCATATATCTATACATATATATATATGGAGAATCACTATTAGCCATATCCCCCGTTCATCACCAACCAACGTTCAAGGCTCGCATGGTCTGTAGAAGCTTCACCAGCGAACTGATCCCAGCGGCTAGGAAGGTGGCCACCCAGCCGTTGCGATAGGTGGCCGTCATGGTCACCCTGGTCGCTGCGCGAGGCTTGAGCGTCGATCAAACATGGGATTTGTATCTCTGATGTATATAATATCAATATATATATATTCAATGTAATAATATGCAACATATATATATGCATAGTATCATATATATATATGTATAGATAAAAGATATATGTACTTAAGCCAGAAAAATTGGGATCTAACTGGAGAAGGCTTTGGGATTTCATATGAGTTCACTGTGAAAAAATGAGGATTAAACATGATTTGACCAAGAAAAACAGGGTACACCAATCAGACACATAGTCAATTTTCTTGTTTTATTGAAATACAGTTTGGATATTTTTTTTGTTATTCATTTAATACAGCAAACAAATCCCCCTTGAAGCCACGAAAATGGGGATAGAACTAAGTGAAATGAGGGCCGACAAGAACAAACATATGCATTTTATCGACCAAATCTATGTGTGACATGATTTCATATATCAGCACATCCTTTGGGCATATAAGTGACCAAACTTGGCGCTGTAACTATGGCGATACGCCTGTATTTAGATTGGGTTGTGACTCTGAGGTACCACGTTTTGGGGAAAAGATGAGAAAAGTACACGTTGCAATCAAGATAGATGCCCCAGATGGGTTTGGTTTGAACTCCTTTGGGGAAAAGATGAGAAAAGCACCGCGAAAACATCCCATGGTAACTTGATGGCCATGGAGATCGTTTCGGAGCGATCTGATGTCAATCCATTGGCACTCTGCTGATGCCATCCTTGTTTACATTAAACAAAAAAAGGGATAGATGTGTCTTTTGTTGGGTTGGTTTCAGTGGAAATCGTGTCATAGTTTCGGAAAGAAACATAAAGGACACCACCATGTTTGATGGGAATCAACATCGTATTTCCATGTCCCGCAGATTTCCCGATTTCAACCATCCATTGATCCATTGATCACAAGATTTGGTGATGAAATCCCTGATGTTGAATGGTTACATCAGCATTTTTTGGCTGTTGACATCTCCATATGCCAAGAAACCCCAAGATCTGCTGCTTGTCATCAAGCATCGCCACCTGGTGCAACTTCTCCGCATATGCTATGTGGATCGTACATATAAGAATAGACGTAAATCAAGATGTATTGTATATCTGTATGTGTATACACAATTATATAAACTGAAACTGTTTCTTTGATTGTTTAATGTTTGATTGTCTGTCTATTTGTTTGTTTATTCACCTATTCATATTATATACTATATGATATGTATATCGATAAACATTGATTTGTGTATATATATATTATTATACATACATATATTTATCAAGAAATAATGTAATCATGTTGCATTGTATATGAGCCACGGTCGAAATTTATTATTTACGTCAAGCGCGTCATCAAGTTAGTGAGTCCCCTATCGTTTTACAGGTTTTCCTGTTTTCCATATTTTGACCATTATTTACCTGTTTAAGCATAGTTTTGAAGCGCGTCCACTTGGATCCTCATCCCTGGCGATCTTTGTTTGCGCGCGCTGGAGCTCACTTGTGCTTTTGCCCGTGCCTGTCTGGTCCTCCTTCTCGCTGCTTGGGCGGTCTCTTCAACCAGCAGGTCTTTTTGGAAAAAAATTGGTTTTGGCATGCTTTGGCCATCATAACTGCTAACCTCAAATTTTCAAAATTTATCCAGCCGGGGCAGAAAACTTTAGTCCATCACTGTAACATACTACCAACAACATCCACCACCTGTTCGGCCTGTTTTGTGACCAGTCGGTCACCCGGGCTGCTTTTGGACAGATTTTAGCATCGTTTGGGTATCGTTTTGGGTATCGTTCTGCGTGGGCTCCATCTTTGCAAGTCACATGCGTGCGAGACTGAATGAATAGCTCGCCGCAGTCTACCAAAGCTAGGCCAGGCAGCAAAACGAGATACTGCATGGAGTTAGCCACTCCAGGATGCCTAGACTGCCTGCGAATAGATGCATGGCTTCCGTAATCTGAGCTACTCGGTGCCGAGTTTAAGCAGCCCACCTAGGTGGCTAAAGTAATGTAAAGTCATGTAAAGTCAACCCACCGCATGGGCACACCCATTCATGGTGAAGTGGATCCAACCGTGAAAAAAACAACCCTGCCTAAGCAAACACTATGCCCACACCACAAAACGCGCAAGCATGCGCAATCAAAAAACGTATCGTTTTTTGTGAGTCCCCTATCGTTTTAGCAGGTTTCATGCAGCAGCCAACATCCGATGCACACTCCAGTACATACTTAATCAGCGCAAATTTTGACGGAATCTCATATACATAGTGTATATTTGCTATATCATTTATTTACTAAGAAACAATATCAAGTAATATCAATGCTGTGATCGCCATCCAAGCGACGCGGCGCTCGATACTCTGCAGCAAGCCGGCGACCTCCGCGGAATTCCATTGGCCTCAGATGCGAAAAAAACGATTTAAAAAAAAAAAAAATATTAGCCATTGGTTAACTAATGGATTATTAGATATATATTATTAGCCATTAGTGGATTATTCATGATTCTTCCATTAGTTAGTTAACTAGCCTACTAGCTGGTTGATTTTTCCATGAATAATGTAGATTATTCCACTAGTTAACTATAATATCTCTTAGTTTTCAGGAATGTTTGTAAAGCAATAGGACCCACCATCCTATTGCTTACCACGTGGCATGCCTCCCATGGCCCATCTGGTGGATCGTTCCCGTGTCTAACTCTGTATAATTGTAGATTGTATATGTATGACTGGTATAGAAAATATGTATTAATATATTTATGATTGGTTATGATTTATATCTATATATATATATATAATTATGTAAAAAAATTGTCTAATTGGTGATCAGAAACTTACTTAAAATGGTTCCATTGCTGAACTGTGACAGTTTTTACGAAGCAACCACCCTCGATAGATGGCGTCATTAGTGATCTTCACACAGGATAGACAGACTGCGGACGACATAAAGTAGAAATGGTTATAAGAGCCAATAAGAGCAAGTTCATTCAGAATCACACATTAATGTACAGTAGTCCTCTGTCAATCCTATGCGAACAACTTCCATAAAATCACTACGGACACCAGCTGATAATTTGACATAGCTATGAAACATCCATCATGTTTCACAGCATTTCACTAATAGGTAAATCATGCTAAATCATGAAATGATCCATTTTGGGATGATTTCGTTTACATCCACTATGATTTCCAGGGCGAACAGGAGAACAGTGAGGTCGTGATCAAATTTACCCAGATATATGGAAAATTACATATAAATACATATAAATACATATAAAATATATCATGTATCCCATCTGGTTGGTGGTTTTAACCACCTTGAAAAATATTAGTCAATGGGAAGGAATATCCCATATATTGTGGAAAATAAAAAATGTTCCAAACCACCAACCAGCCATAATATATAATATTATATAAATCATTACGGTAAAATGATCGAAGTCTACATGGACCACCAAGGGACGCGAGAAGATGCAATCGGCCGCTGCATCCACCAAGACCTGCCATGAAAGATGGGAAATGATGGTTGCGAACGACGAAATATGCTGGTTGCGACCATGAAAAATGATGGTTTAACCATGGAACACGGGGACTAATCGTGGAAAAGTGGGATTAACCATGAAAAACTATTTAAAAAAATAGGGAAATATGATAAATTTACCGTCAAGTGGGTGTGGTAGAACGGGTATGGGTTTTAGTTATTTAAAGTCTAAAGTCATCATTCCTCACAAAATGGATGGCTTAGACTGTCAGGAAAAATGGGGGTTGAGCAAACATAAATGGGATTTCACCATAAAACATGAACTTGTCCAAGCCCCTATATAAATGGATCTAAACGGGATTTGAATATATTTGAATGGATTTGAGTGGATCTGACCATTGCGTAATGAGGGTTTGACCCATACTGCAAAGGCAAGCAATTGTCAAATGGATCTTGGGTAAATTGAGATCCATCAGTCACCGGCGACAGTTGCAACAGCACGAGACCTAGCCGACCTAGCCCAACCAGATCATGTCAAGTGGGACAAGATGGGATGGAAAAATGCAAGTGCGATACTTCAAAATGCCCAACATCTCTGGTCACGCGGATACCATCTTTTATCCTAAGCCATACCAGGATGCTCCGCATTCCCAAAATGGGATGAAGGCCATCCGCAGGAAGACTCCCATCAATGTTGGACCTCTTTTCATCATGAGCTACCTTGCATGAATCTGCCCTCTCCGGGACTACTTGCGTCAATGTTACGGAAAAAACCAACAAACTCAACTGGGGTGGCGGCCAAATACATGATACCTTGAGGGCCTGCATGAAATAACGTCACAAGGGCGAGGTGTTTTCATGCTGCCACCAAGGATGCACAGTTTCGGCAAAACATGAACAATCTAATATGTTGGCTTATGAGAGGGCCTGAAGTTTTGAACACATCCCCTTTGTGAGTCAAACTCAGGTCAAAAAATTCCACAGCCAGCGTGCCTGCGAGTCTTTCTCAAGCAGTTCGTTGATGTTGATTGCAGCCTGGTCCAGATGAGAAGATTTGGGTCATGCCAGGGGGGCGCACCAAACCCCAAAGTTGGATCGTTGAACCAACCGAAAGTTTCGGCGATGTGCAGCAAGAGAATCACATGAAGTCAGGACAATTTATGTAACCTCCAACACACTGGATGGTTGAAAGACTAACAAGTTGCGCCATCTGGGTTCAAATCTTGAACACGTTAAGTAGACGCCTATGAACGTCGAAAGCCCAGTCCAAAACCGGGATTGGGCTACTGGATCACTATTGTGCTGTAAATGTGGATGGTTCCGACTACCAAACCACCTGGAATTCTGCAATGTGTTGTCTCCTTTGACCACATGAAAGAAGGCCACAGCAGCATCGACCTGCTACCTTTGGAATTGACACCAGCACAGTTTGGTTTCGCCATGTTTCGCCTGAATGACGTTGAACATGACGACCGCCAGGCATCCCACCAGCATGACCACCAGGATAATTCCGGGAGAGAAGAGATCGCCATTCGCCAGCCAGTCAAAAGCACCCGTGACCATGAAACATAGAATCAACCTGAATGTAACTCAGCTTGACAACCGAAACTATGGAACTACTTGGGAACGCATATACTCAGCTTGGTCGTGCTTGGAGTATCAAACCATCAAGCTTGCGAGAATAGAGTGTTTGCACCATAGACTGCCATAGATAGAAATGGCTCGAAATAGGTCTGTCTGAAAATAGGATGCCCCAAAATTTGCTGGTAAATCATCATTGTCCCTACTAAGGTTATATCATATTTGCTTGCATTGTCCATATTATGGGGTTTGCCCAAGAAAAACCCAAATTGCCTTTCCATTAAGCTTATTAGTCACCGCCATGAGCGAAAGTGAGGTCGCGAAAATCACATGGGCCATGGCAAAAAAAAAACAAATGGTGCCCTGGGAGCCCGCCAGTTTCTTGAAATGTTGAATGGTCCGTTGACAATCGTGTTTAGTTGCGTCCATGGTATAATTTATAATATATAAATATATACATACATCCGAACATTGGTTGAAAATGTGCATACATGAAATCGGATGACATTGATATTTGTGTATATGTATATCTCTGTGTATAGTATGTAAATGTGTGTGTGTGTGTCTGTGTTGGTTGAATCAAGTGAAAAGCCAAATGACCACAATTTAGGCTCAACTTTGGCTAGATTCCCCAATATTGCTTTTAACTATCGTAGCTAAAGTGAATTGCCCCTTTGTAAACACAGATCTGGAAAAGCCACAGAGTAGCTGCAAAAAACCATCATTTTCCACATCGACTCGTGAGTGTTTGGGCTACCCGTTGTGGGGACGTTTGGAGATGTCATGCCGCCATGCCCCGATATGCCGGGCGGCTGGAGAGTCAGGACCCCACAGAAATCCATGGCAGCGGATTCCTCAGTGGTTACCCTCTGGGAATTTTGTTACTGCTTGCGACATAGAAGCCATGGCCCAGTCGAAATAGTTGATTTACCCATTAAAAATGGTGATGTTCCATAGTTATGTTAGTCTACCAAAGGGTATATAGTTTATAGGGGTCAGAATCGTAGACATATCACGATGTATCTATAGTTCCGCATAATTATGTAGATATCATAAGTTAAAGGGGTATATAAGCATATTTATAGGGGTTGTGTCCCATCTTATGGAGGTTTTCACCATGGTGATACTTGTCAAAATCACCCCAACTCCACCACCAACTATCGGAAAATCATTCAGATGATGCTCAGGTAACTTATTCTAGTGCTTCAGGACCCTGATTGTTTGACGAATTTGAGATGCTGGTGGTGTTGGTTGGCAAGCTTTTTATAGGGCAAGACAAGTGTGTTTTCTGAATCTACAGGAACAGGTTGGTTACCCAACTTGTCAAGGTTTCAAGCAACTTTGTTCTTTGTTGGTGGCTAGTTCAAAGATGTCAACGATGTATCTTACCACGTTTCTCGGGCTCAGAAATGTGTGAATTCACATCCCGTTGGTTGATCAAGAGGGAAGTTCCACAGCATGTTCTGCAGCCGAAGGAGCATCTAAGAAGTCAACTTGAATGTACTTCCTGCAATGTGCAACATCAAGTTTCTTCAGGTTCCACTGAACAGCAACATGCCTCTGAACCTTTTCGCGCGTCATCTTGATCTAGACTCAAAAAGATGCTGCAGTGCAAAAAGTGCGCCATGTCACTGCACTAATTTGTGACCACAAGGTGCGCGTTTATGGTACTATGTTGTACTCTGACACCATGGTTGGTTCTGCGTCTTTACGAATGATGAATGTGCATGGCATGAGCATATTGTATACATGTGCATGTATATCTGCATGCATATGTATGCATATGTTTGTGACCTTTCAAGCATGTTTTACAGTTAATTAGTCGCTGTGCAGTCTTCTTTGCATGTCAAAATGGTGTCTATAACATTCTATAACTAGGATAGCTCCAAATTAATGGTGCATATATTGGGGTATACCAAATGGTATATAACTAGGATAGCTCTCTATATTTGTTTATCCAAAAACAGATTCGGTATACCCCATGTTCAGACACACCCAATGTGATTCTCATCTCTCGGTCCTCAATTCCCACCAGGCTTTGATGTCATCCACATTCATCAGATCCAACTTCTCAGCTCCTGGCACCGTCCCAGCACCAGCCTAGGGCCCTAGGTACCCTAAAATAGCCTGTGAATGGATGGTTATTCCCCAAAATATGGTAATCATATAGGTTTTGACCCATCCATACCCATCCCCACGATTGGAATGCTAGGTAAACATCGGGCAAAGCAAATACAAACCATCTGATCCATGCCCAAACGAAAGAGCCTCCCAAACATGCCCATGACAAATTGGAAAATAGAGTCTTGAGTTACTCCAACGAGTTTGCGAAAAATAATCTGACCGTTTCCATCAAGGATGATCCTATCCCAAAATCCATGTGCACCGAAGCAACCCATCTGCAGGAATCGAGTAAAGAGGATAATTTACATTACATTATATTACATTATTATGTTTGGTGGTGGAAAAACAAAAATGCACCAAATCCATAGGCTTCAAAATTTGTTTCTGAAATCCGTGCGTCCCACAAGATAGTTCTCGTTTAAATCCCTCAAATCAACCCAACGATCTGTGGCACTTTGCGTCCAAGTAACCGATGATCCTCTCCAATGCATGTCGCAGTTGATTCTCCGTGATCACCGCATCACCACCAACGTTGTTATTGTTGCCTTGCGCAGATCACGCAATAGGGATGGGGCCCAAAAGAGGTGCCAAACTCCTCCTACTGCTTCTCAACAGATGTTTTAAGTATGTCTCCTCCATCCATGGGAGCGGGCATGGATTGGAGAATGGGTCAGATTTTGGCCCAGCAGCTGCTGTTCCACCTGAAAGCATTTCAACTGATAGCCCTTAGCTAGTCCACCTGGGGTGATACCATACTAATTTGGGGAGACCTCATTGGCGTGGTATTTCCATTGAATTTCCATGAAAACCCAGTCGCGATAGCTAGGAAAAACCTCGAAAAGTAGCAGCCGAGATACTCAAGGCATTGGCCAGTATGCTTCTCAAGATCTCGCGGTTTTGCCTGCTCCAGCTCTCAATGCTTGAGTAGGAGGTCAGTGTACTGAAGAGAAGCAGCTGTTTCGCGTTTTGGTCCATGCCCTTTGAGATGCAAAGGATATTCGCCACCAAATGAAACCTGAGGAAGACTTGAGTCACTTGGACAAGTCCTAGGGGTATGTACTAGTAATACCAGTAATCCCTTGACCCAAACATGAAGTTCTCGGTGGTTGAGTATTGAATCTATTCCTTTTGCCGTCATGGGAGAAATTCAATATCCGCGATAGGGGATGATACATCCTCGCTACCAAGGAGCCAGGAAATGGCGGCACCATAGGATTTGAGCATGCACAAAGTGAAGCCCAACCAATCCCATCTACTTTCGAATCTCAGTTCCGGCAGCTCGCCTCGGAGATCGTATGGAAGCCATGTTCCCGAAACATGCTGTTTGGGGGGCTATACCGGTATACCATGGTATACCATGGTATACCATGGTATACCATGATGTTCAGACCCAGATCCATCGTTGATGTTGGGTAAATAAATTACACTTCAAGCATCTTGACACAAAATCCACCAGTTCAAGGGTGAAACTCCCCATCTCACTTTGACAGAGGATATCTATGTGAGTTTACCTCAGGCAGAATGAGCCGACCAGTCCCTGGCGCTCTGCCCCAGTGGCCGGTGCTCATTTTGCCCTGGCGAATTGCCTCCTGCAACCAGGTCAGCAACACGAAGAGAACCAGCGTGGAACACCAGACCATCCTGACGCCGGCCCCGCGGGAAACGAGATTGAAACCATGGCGCACCCTGGGATGTTATGGGATCTAACCAAGTAGAAATGGTGACGACAAACCCGCAATCAACGGCATATGCTCATTGGTCTTTGCCACCAATTCTAGGTGGGTCCTATAATTGGTCCTTCATCAAGAAATACTGCCAAACATTTTGTAACTGGTTAGGCTAATAGCGGCTATAATTTGATTATATGGGTTTGTCTGAAAATAGGGTATATTCCCAAACAAATAGCCATTTAATAGGGATAATGATCATTAACCATTGGGTTTAGGGGTACACTATTTTCAGACACACCCATATGCAAAGATTGGAGTATGAAAGAATCCGTCCAAGGTGTCCCCAGAATTCACCGAAAAGTTATGGGGAGCAAAAGGTACCTCAGTAGCTCCCAGCACACATGGAGATGTTTTATTTGGATAAAATGGGACATAGTGACGACAAACAATATGGATAATGGCCAAGGACCTATGGATGTCTTCGAATTGAGAAAAACATCTATGAATCTTTATCAGTCAGTATTGATTAATATTGGACAACTGTCAGCATCATGTACCCACATCTTGGTTGTGAAACATGCTGAAACATGCGGGTCACTACTCTGTGCATTAATCAACCAGGGAGAAAAGGACCATGGGTGGGTCAGTGGCCGTGCCCAGAAAAAAAAAAAAAAAACTGTTGATTCTACATTGTGCGCCCATACAAGAGGCTATAGATGTACTGTGTGAAACCCAGTAATAAACCATCCCCAATAGATATTTATTATTGGGTAATTGTACCCCTAGCAATGGCATGATGCAAAATTACCCCACTGCGATGGTGACTGCGATGGTGACTATGGCAACATTGATCTCCTTGACAGCCTGCCAGCCTAAGCCGGAATTTTGCCACAACGACCACAACAAATCAAACTAGATAAGTATAAATATATATAATTACATGCATATATATATATATATAATTATTATATATTATTATTATACATATATTATTATTATTAATAATATTAAATATATTATTATAATATTATTATAAATATTATTATATATATTATTATATATATATATTATTATAGATATATATATATATATATTATTATATATATATATTATTATAGATATATATATATATTATTATATATATATATATCTATAATAATATATATTATTGTATATATTATTATAAATATTATTATATATTATATATTGCTGTATTATTATATATATATATATTATTATATTATTAAATATTATTTCATCTATTATAATATATATATATTATTATATTATTATTATATTTTATATTGTTGTTACTATTTATTATTATCATTATTATTAGTATTACTATCATTATTATATATGAATATAATTATATATATACATAAGATTGACATAAGTATACAACCGGAGTTACTAGGGTCGCGGCGCCGGTCCATCACTGGGGTTCCTTGAAGTCCTTACAGCCCACAGATTTACATGACAAATCTTACATACCCACTAAAAGAATGTTGGTTTTTAGATGGTTCGGCTAGTAATGGTTGATATATCATGATATATCTCCAACATTCTGCAACTTTTATGGCAAATGATTAAAGTAGCAATGTAGCCATCCCAAAGTTTAGCCAAGACAGCTCCCATTGCTGCCCGCCTGATCAAGTTTGTGGGCGTCTCGTTGATGTCCCAGCTGCGGTACAATTGCTCCAGCGTCCGCGGCGGCATCTGTTTGCCGAAGGTCTCGGGGAAGCTGCGTTGTAACCTGGGACACCAACGGGCAGTGGATCCAAAATGCTGGGCATTGCATGAAGTTGCGGCCTGAACCAAGAAATGGTTATAGTTGGCAATTGATTTATGAATGTATCTTATAACTTATAACCAAATATAATTATATATAGCTCGAATGTCTTAACATGTACGCCAACATGTATTATAGTTGAAACTGGTTGAACCAACAAGCATCAAACTTGTGAGTGGCATAAAAAAAATGAAAAAATACAACAAACATGAAGAACACATGGAATCACATGGATATATAAGCGTGAATAAACAACAAAATCGATATTCAGATGCGTAGAGTACGAAGCCAATGGATCAACGATCCATGTCTTGCATCTCAGTGCCGTGGTTCAAACCCATGAACCTACAGTATTTGCCATCCAATGATGGTGGTTAATACCATTCATAGCAAATGTCGGAAAAAAAATCCAAGCCTATTGTTCATTCGTTAAATATGGTCTAAATCCCTATTCGCTATGCTGAAATCCGCCATGTTATAGAAAACATAACAGAGCAGAAGAAAACAACATGTTTCGAACTTAATAACCTGATCTACAGTAAACATTCTAAACCATCATTTTATGGTTAAACCATGTTAAACCCATCATTTTAGAGTTTCATCCACCATGTTGCCATGTTGACCCAAAACAAATCACCGGCATCGCGCTGGGGAACTTCTGCAAGAACTCCATGGCATCACTCTTCCGTCCCTCCGCATCTGGAATTGCTGAGGCTTCCAGGCGATTTCGGGCGCGGACCTGGAGGGCCAAAACGTTGGAGATTTCACCATGAAAAAATGGTGAGTCACATGGGGATACTCATGTGATACAACAAGGGATGCTACCAGGAACTGAAAATTGATGGTGGGGTTGATGGTTTTTTTTGGATACTGTTCGAAGTAAATGGGAGCATGATCCAGCGGTGGGAGATGTCAAAAAAAAGAAAATATCTGGTTGGTGGTAGTTTCAACCCCGAAAAATCATGGACAACTCGTCAGTTGGGATGATTATTCCATTCCCAACTGTTTCTGGAAAGTCATAAAATTCCATGGTTCCCAACCACCAACCAGTAATGATCTCATGGGGATGCCACACAGTTGGTGACCCCCAATTTTTTTGTGTTGGCGCAACATTGGGAAGCCCTGAAGAAACATCCGTTTTCATCATATCCCCCTCTATCCCATGGAAAATCTATGAAAATGTCAGGTCTAAATCGGTCTAAATGCAGAATGTTTGTTGATAAACCCATGGATAAACCCATAAATTAATAAAATGAATTATTGAATTACTGTTGGTTAAATGACTCCCTACTCCCTTACCCTCCGGTAATCAAACATGATTTGCCGGAAAATCTCCCATTTAGTTCGGGAATCGTCCCTGGTATAAACCTTCAGGGCTAGTTCGGGGACTTTCCAGCAAGCCACGTTTGAGGGTATTTTCCATTATTAGTAACCACTAATCACCATTAAACACATTGATTAACCATTATCAACCATTAGGAACCATTTTTCACTATGATTAAGCATATCAACCAATCATAGATGTTGGCTAACCATCAATTATGAACCATTATCAAACATTATAACCATGACTGACTATGTTGGTCTGCTTTCATTATTATCAATGATAAACCAACTATGATTCACTACTATTAGCTATTATCAACCACCATTCACCATCAAAAACAATCAGAAAATTATTAGATGTTGTTAGCTTCTATGTATTCTATGGTTGGTCATTAGTTATTCATGATTGTTAACCATAATTATTGTTTGAAAGAATCCATTGTTTTCAGGCTAACAACACCGCAGGCCAGCGACTTGAGCCACTCAGAATCTGTTCCGCCAAGTCGGTTGATAACCAGTTTCACCTATCATGTTTTTTTGGGGAAGTCAATTTGCAGCTCCAACTGGCTCCCCATTTAATAGAGACTTTACCCATAGCTATATATATACATGTATATATATATATATATATTTACTAGGTATATATATATATTGTAGATATATATATATAGTATGTATATAGTAGATATATATATATAGTAGATATATATAATTATATAGTAGATATATATATATATACATATAGTAGATATATATATAGTAGATAGTATGTATATATATATATATAGTGATGTAGACTTTAACCAATACTTTACTTAATGGAACCATTAGCTTCCAGAGCACCTCAGTTCCCTAACCACACCTTGTGGTAGTGCACGTGAGCCGACACGTCCAAGATCTGAACCTCCAAAATCCTTGGTCAATCCAACGCTGGACGACCATCGTATTATATAGATGGGGCCAAATTGAACAAGTTTTGACCATGGCACATGTATATATGTAAAAAACATATTTATATATCTACTCTATATATATATGTGTGTGTATATATAGTGTGTGTCTATATATATATAATCTACCCTACCTTAGCTACCCCCCCTCCCCCCTCAAAATAATTTCCAAAATTATTTTCAGGGGGTTGATAGTGTCTTCGGTTGTTGTACGAAACAACCCTCTTTAGGGTAAAATAATTTCTTACGTTGGAACCCCCCCCCCCTCATCGAGGGTGGTGGACCTTCCTAAAAATTATTTCAACCCCTGGGGAGTTAATTATTAAGCGGCCGCGGTAAAGACCCCCCTTCCGTGCAAACTGTGCCACACCATTTAAGTTTTCACGCCCCAAAAAAATGGAAAACAGCTGCAGCGGAATTTTATGATTCGGAGTCTGTCTGAAATGAGCAAGCTCACATTTGCATTTCACCAGGAATTCAGCTGAGGAACATTGGACGGACCCCGCCTTTATCGGTTTATCGGGTGGCCGGCGCCGATAGGTAGAGTCTACCTTTATCGGGTTATCGGGTAGACTCTTGGCTTATCGGTTACCGGGTGAAGCGCGAAATCCGAACCGGCGTTGCCAGTCCAATGTATATGTATGTATGTACATAGAGATATATATATATATAGAGAATATATATATATACTGGTCTCCAAATCCCTGATTGGATGATCTCCCAACTCAATGACGTCACATTGCAACATTGGAGACTATTGGTCATAAGTCATAAGCGCTGTTATAGTCTCAATCAAATCCAGGTAAGATAAGGGGGTATCGTTTTAGGACGTCCTCTATCTTTTCCAAGCCAAATCCAAAATAACACATCTGCAGTGAACGCTCCATATAATATATACTATTTTATAGTTACTTTACGATAATTTAGATCCCGGCTCAAATAGAATTATAGAGAGAGAGAGAGATAGATAGTATATAACCTCCCCCAATTGCGGTAGACCCTGAAAAGAATTTGTTTGCTTTTGGTGGAAACTCATCTTGCAACAGGGTCTATGTTTTTTTTCAGCCATCCACCGGAGCAGCGGAGCCCCTCGAGCACAGCGTCCGGAGCAGCAGCAGGGAAGTCACACTCAGGGCATTCGTCAACATCTGCACCGGTAAGGACCTGGATTGGTTGGGAAAATCTCACCCGGAAAGCTTGGTCAACTTGGCATCAACGACTGAGTTTCCGGCGAAGAGAACCCCAACTAAACCAATTCTGGGAAGAAAAGGAATCGGTGACCAGGTGAAGGATGGGAATCAAACAGCCAAAAATAGGGGGGTTCACCACTGTTTTAACCACAAATGGGGATGTAACTCACTCCAAGCAGCAACAGCAGCTTTACAATGCCTGTGCCACTCAAAGGAGGAATGTGTATGATATTGTTCCTGGTAAATCCCTGCACAAAGTGATTAGTAGAAATCATGTGGATCATTCATGTGTGTCATGGTTGAAAAACTGTATATGGGTTAAGGCTATGGTCATCCTACCATCATTGAGGGGATGACCATCCTCCACCATTGGGGATATACTGTAATCCAACTTTTGACCATGGCACATGTACAATCCCCCAAAAAAACATCGTTGGTAAATGTGGCCACATGTGGCCACTGCTCTGCCGCTGGAATCCTCAAGATGTGTCATGCCAAATAATGAAATTCCAAGGGCCGCCAAGGCACACGAATGCACTTTGTGCCGTGCAATCGGTTCTTCCCATAACCGAACCATCGCAAGTGAACAGGCCCTGCACAGGGCCAAGGTGGGAACGGGCCTGTGGCCAAAAAAGATCAAAAAAGCAGGTATTGAACTATCCATCCATGTAGGTTGCTGCAGTTGTGAGGATGTAGCCGTAGCGTAAAAATTTGGGGGGACCAAGAAAGTTAAGGAATCCTAGACAATTTCGTGGCTGCTCTCCCTGACAAAAAGCTTTGAGAAACATCTCAGAGTGAGTTCCACCGGCGAACCCGCCCAGTTCCAGCCCGTCCCCGAGGACAACATCCGTCAGCATCAGCCACATCAAAGCCTGGAGATGTTGCAACTTGCAACCTTTGCCTTGGATCATTGGATACTTACCCTCCAGTGACAACTTGCCGAAAATCCTGTATTCTATGGGTCATTGGAAGATGATGTTCCTATCTAATATGGGGAGTTCCAGTTGCTGGCTTTTTGAATTCAAATGCATACCATCGTATTCGCCAACTCTTCGAACGGCAAAAATCTTCCAATACAGCACTCCAGGTTCAGCATGACCAAGTTCCGCAGATGTTATGTCTTCACAAAATGATAATCCTCAGCTATACAGTAACCCAGTTGAATTGTATACTCTCATTCCTTCGCCCTTGAAGATTAAAATACCCACGTGAAAACCCTGATACGCTGGATCTATTTATTTGGGCCCAGGGCCTGGTATGAAATGTTGGATGGGATCTTTACAAGTTCTTACTGGCTTTAGCCGCTAAAATTCCCATCTTGTCTGGATGTCAAACCACCATTTTTCCTCAAGTCATGACCACCAGGGTGGCTCCTCGCTGCCCAGCCAATGCCGCAGCTGCCGGCCCCAGGAGTGTTCCGGTGGAAAAATCAACCTATGGGCTGATGGACTGGTTTCCATAGAAGGTCTTATACACAAAAATAATCAAAAATAAATAAAAAAATACTATGCATTGAAGTGTCGATTAAATGTGTAGGTCTCCTGCAATTTTCCTTTCAAGATCTTTCAACCAATTGTGGCACATGGGGTCAACAAATCCCAGGCTAGGGCTGGAAAAGCATTTGAAAAGACATGAAAAACCAATCTGAAGTTCTTCGGTGCAAGTTGAGGGGTTCCACAAAAAATGGTGCGGAAATTGCTTGGGGACATGGATATTTGGAGCATCAAACAGTGAGGGTGTTGTTTTGCATGTCATCAGAACCTCATGATAACAGGGCAAGTGCCAAGATTCCAGGGGAAAAGGTCAAACGATCTATCAAGTCTCCCTGGACTGGAGCAACAGTTTCTATCATCATCATCATCATCATCATCGTCATCATCGTCGTCGTCGTCGTCGTCGTCGTCGTCGTCGTCGTCGTCGTCGTCGTCGTCAATCATCATCGTCGTCAATCATCATCATCATCATCATCATCATGATCATCATCATCATCGTCATCGTCATCATCATCGCCATCGTCATCATCGTCGTCCTCGTCCTTGTCCTCAATCTTGTGGACATCATACACTGTGCAGAACTTCGTGCAAATTCAGGCACCTCCAGCGAGCAAACAGGTAGTTTTTCACCATGTAACCTGTGCCGCTACGCAGGGCTTCGGGATCCCCAAACGGATGGTTTCCCCATCGTTCCCCAGCCCTGAAATCTTGCATGAAAGATGAAAGTGGGGTGCCCGAAGATGATATATACGCCCTTGATCACCCTTGAAAATGGGTCATGAGTGGATTCCATTTGAAGTATCACAAGAGACAAATTGGTGGATGGTGATGTCCAAAAGAAAACCAGAGACCATCTGATCACAGTAATTACTGTATAATATACTTGTACTCCTAGTGTTGCCCTTTTCATCATTCTGTTTGTGAGATCGACAATTCATTCGTATTCATTCAATACCTTTAAATAGTGCCTCCACGTGAAATATGCGGTTTTCAATAGACACTTAAGACTCATATACCTGAAATCATAGCATCATCGTGGCGCCCGGTGCCCCATGGTACCCCCTTCCCAAGCCCAGCATGGCGTCCCCACGCGCCACGAAGATGGACAGCATGGGACAACTGCAGAAGAGCGCAACAAAGCCATCGGAGGCCACTTGGTGCCAGCGGTGCCGGATGTCCACCACCGGGAGGGGTGGGCCATTGTTCACCTCGGGTCCAAGAACGAAAAAATGGTTATGTAAAGTATGTAAACCACAATGATGGATGGAACCAACACACTAGATTTCACCAAGAAATGTGACGAATCTAGTAAAAATATGGTGATTCAACCAATAAACAGTGAGATTTAGCCAGCAAAAGTTTGGAAAACACAACAAATTGATTTCAACAGTATGTTCCAGTGTTTTTTGATAGACATGCAAGCAAATCTGCCTGCGTGAAATGTCAGTAAATGTGTTTGTAAATGGTGTATGTATGTTCTAGTTTCAAAGCAAATGAATGGATAAATAAGTAGACAAACAGCTGAATATATATATATATATGAATGAAGATAGATAGATAAAGTAGACAATTAGATTAAATAGATCACTTGGTAAATGGATACACTTGTGATACATAGATATGTGTTTTAATACGAAGGACGTTAGGTCTGGCCAGGGCGTTTTTTAGATTGACCGCCTTGCCAACGTCAAGCTTCTAGCTATTGCATGGCAAGAGACCGTCACCACGTTGTCGATGGCACCTGGAGCGAAAGTCTGATTTCAGACCGTACCAAAAAATCAAGCAAGCAGGCTTGACTGTCCCATTATGCCTGAATCAGGTCAAAAATTCATAAGTTCAGGTTGATGCAGATTGTGCTTGAAAAGAAAAAAACAGCCAGCCACAATTCCATATTAATGTATTATATATATCATATTATATATATATATGTATGTCATATAATATATATATATATGTGGGTGTTCTATCCGCGACCAAGGAACGCTTGAGCGCAACACGACCATTTTCATCCTCGTCGTCAACATCCACTTCAACGTAGGGTTCTTCTATACAGTCACCACCTCTATGGCGCTGCTGGATGGGGAGCCTTTGGATCGGAGGGTTTCACCATGGATGGAGCAGCTGGATCATTTCACCAGACTTTCACCCTGATTCATTGGATTGGTTTAAGGGAAAATTTACAGGAAACCATGGTTTTTACCATCAAATATAGGGCTTTCCTGTAAATTTTCCCATCATCCAATTCTATGATGATACATCCGGAAGAGAAAGGCTATAGATATGCATGGCATTGCATGGCATAGATATGATATTGACGTATTCACCGATGTGCCATTCCCCATCTTGGTGACAGTTTCAAGTTTCAGCCGCTGAGAACAAAAAAAGGCCCTCTCAGTAGCTGGAAAATGTTCCAAGTCCTTTCCATGCTGCTGGAAACAAGAGCGGCTTTGCATCAAAATGCACAAACCATGGTGCCATCCAACGCCAACACCAACACCAACAACACCAACAACACCAGCAAGACCAGCAGCAGCAACAACAACTAGTAGCACTACTCCTCCTACCTACTCTTCCCAAGTAAAAGTGACCCTTTCATGTTCATCAGGTCATTCTCTTTCGAATAGCTGAAAGAAACTGCTTGGTGATTTCAAAAGTATGAAAGTAGAATCTGATCATCATGCCATTGTTAGAAATGCAAAATAAAACATCTGACACCAGGACCAGACAGTCTACCATCAACTACCCCACTCTTTATGCCAGGATATGCTACTTCCCTGGTACAGTCAGGTCCTCCCCATTCATCAATCGTGTTTAAAGAATGTTTTAGGTCCGTAGGTGGTTTCACCACAAACAATCAACCAGCATAGTTTCTGCCATGGTTGTCCCCATTTGTCCCCATTTTGGCACGTATTAAACGAATCAATGGTCATACTGCTGCAGTCTCCTATGGTTCTTGCTACAATCATTGCCAATATGTTGATCCGTTACAGTTCTGAAGATATTGATACACCATGGGGTAGCATTCTTCTTGGCTACAAAATATCATAAAATATCTACCTCCATCTTTTCAATGCCACAGTTGCCGAATTACCATGTCCCAACTACGAGACTCTTAGAATCGCCCATCCCCAGGTTAGTCTTTCAACCGTGATCTGCCTTGGTCTATGACAGTTGCAGGGATGTAAGTGCCCCATTCTAGCCCACTATCGTTGGATCATGTTGGATCTATCCCATTATCTCAGGATGAATGCCATATTTGCATATGGATACCTACATATAATATATATATAATATATATATAATATCATATATATATAATTAGCCATACTATCATACTATAGTAACCAAAGCCATTGTACCAAACAGATCCATTTTTCACATTGGCCAGCCGCCAACCGCCAACCAGTTGTGTTTTTCACATAGGCACACTCCACACAGAGCAGCCGCGAGGAGACCATCCCAAGGCGACCAAGATCGACCAAGGCGACATGGTCAGCGACTGGATCCCATGTATCCCATATGAATGAGGCATATTGACCAGAGATACCAATAGATATCATGTATATTCATGTATAGTAAATAGATGACATGATGGATTAAGACATGGGGAAAGGCATTCATTTCAAGTTAAAATTTATGGAGATATCATGAGATCATGAAAATGATCAACAAAAAAAACAACATCATAAAAGAGGACTGATCATGTTTTATCATGATAAGGAACATGTTGAGTTGAATCTCATGAGCATAATATACTGACTTGCTATCTGGTGTCCGTTTGGTGGTTGAGCATGTTGAGCCAGCCATCTCACGGCCCACAAGTCTCTTTACTAAGGGTATCTAATTAAGTGCTATGAAATTAATGTCATAAGCAAATCTAAACTGCATGACCACTTGCCCAGCAGCTCAGGTCGCAGGTTCTATCCATTTCTATCCTCATCGCGTTGAAATCATGTTGGTAACTTTGCCAACTTCTGCTTTGAACAAAAGGAGCGACAAGGAAACAAGATGGGACATCTACAGATGGACTGGTAGCTATTAAGTCTTGAAACCTCGACTTTTTTGGCAGGACCCTTTGCTGTACCGAAATGGTGTCAAATTTGTGGACCGGAATCCAACTTTCTACAGGTGATTCTGACTGAATCTCTCATCCACAAAACGACCATTTTCTAGGCCGATATCTCTACCATGAACAGGTCGAGAAATCATAGAATTCAACAAAGCACTGGGATGGTACCAGAAATGTGTGATATAGCGAACTGGCAAGAAAAACCCTTACAACAAGAATAGAATCTGTGCAAATTGCTGTAATGTTCATGATTATTTAGATAAACCTCAGACGTCTCCCTGATTTCGGAGGAGTTTCCCCGTTTCCCCAACCGTCCCAACATAATCGCCTGTGGCGGTTCAGCTGCCTCCTGCGGAGCCAATCCCGTTTTGGAAACCAGTGAAACCATGGATCATTGTGGAGATTACCCTCCGGTAATTTAACATAGCTATTGAAAATGGCCATTTATAGTTGATTTTCCCATTAAAAATTGTGATTTTCCATAGTTATGTTAGTTTACCAGAGGGTATTCTGGATTATATCTGGATTATATCTGGATTATGGATCACAATCATCACTTAAATTTTCGTGAGACTATCTGAGTCAGTTTAAACATGAGGTACCCCATGATGCCCCGATTTTCCGGGGATTCGAACTCGCTTCTCCCAGGAAAATCTTGCGATTGTTAGTGAAGTCCCGGAGTTCCGGATGCACCCAAGTTGATAGATCGCATCCCGCTAAAATCATTTAAAATCTCCATTCAATGCCGATATTTCATGGGTAAATCACCATATCCATATATATATATCAAATATCATATCATATATTTAATAATAGTATTGTGTATTATATTATATCATATCATATCATATCATATAATATCATATCATATTATATTATATATATATAATTATATATACATTTGTCATGAGTAATCACCATGTTACAGTATCCCTATTGTTCATAGTTAAATCACCATATCTGAGCTTGGCTCGAGCTCCTCCCCAGCATCGCTGTCATCTCTGGGCGGCTCCTCTGCCAACTCATGGATCCCCCCAGGGAAATTCTACAGGAAATGTCGAAATTCCAAGGCTCATCGGTCAATTTGTGTCAATCCGATTTCGGTCAATTTGTCATGTGTCTTGCATCATAGTCAATCATAGTGCATCTATTTGCACAGATGCAGAATTGATGATTCTTGATTTCAAAGCCAATGGAGAAGAGTAAACAACCTCAGCACAAGTGTTAGGATCCCCATTATGATGGCGAAAGACTGATCTTCGGCCAACCAAGCATTCGGCGGAGAAAAAAAGATGGGTGGTTCAACCCTCTGAGAATAGTCTATTGGGATCACTCTCCCAGGGTCAAACGCAAGCGCATCCTCGTCCATCTCAAATGTAAGCGCCTGCGGCATGGTCGACCGGGTGGTCGACACCATGGAATTTCTCGCCAATACGGGATGTGAACCCGAAACAGTTAGGGACTTCCTGGAGGCGGTTCAAAATGTGGAACCCAAAAAAATCCATTGATCCAAACATGGATCAACGGCCCGTGTGAGTCCCAGCCCTTAGAAGATGTGGCTGTGGGTCAACACACAATATTCCCCCAGTATCGGATACATGGGTTTGTCTGAACATATAGTAAACATCCCATGGTTCATCATTCTCCCGATCAAAGTTGTCATGTTGGGGTAATTGTTTATATTAGTTCCCACATGAACATCCCCTGAAATTCTGTCATTGTGGATTTGTTTGGGTTGCTTACCAAATTAATGTGCCACTGTTTCGATTTTAAAAGTGTTGACCCAAAATACCAACCGCTGTTCAACAACCCTAAGTGGAAATGCATTACCAGCCACAGCCCTTTATTCTTCTTCATGTGTTGGTTCTATGGGTGATAAACCCAATTTACTGTTTCAATCTGTTTCAAGCGTTCACACACCAAAACACATAAACCATAGAAAAGCAGCGTCATCCCCCTTGGGGTGGAAATCTAAACTGGGTAGAAGGCTTTCAGCCCCAACTTGGAAGCCTATAGTACGATTCTTGACAAGCAAAGTTTGGAATCTGCCTCAGTCATTGAGATGATTCAAGCATAAGACTTCCTTGGAAATTTAGGACCCCCCCTTGTTCCATCCCTACCATTGGCCCCATCGATCCCCAGCGGGCACGCCCCCCAGCTCAGCGGACCTAGCGCATTTTGCGCAGATGTTCCCAAAGGTAACACCACAACCCGGACGTCCGCCGGTCCGCCGGGGGCACGGACGGGCGCCCTTAAGGAGGTATCGCTGGTCTCTGAGCCCCCAACAAAATGCCGAGGCAGACCCCAAAAATCATGATGTGGGAAAGCTAAACAGCACAAACCGGGCCCAATTTGATGATTTGGGTACCCGAGGTTTACCAATTTTGTCAAAGCATGCAACAATTCAGGGTGTTGTTGTTGGGCCAGGGTTTTACCCTTCTCCAAACCACGGTGGTTTCAAGCCTGCAGCATTGGCCGTTGGGCAGATCAGCCCGACAAGAAAGAATGCTTGGAACCCAGCAACTCCAAGTCTATGGCAACCGACCCTCCGATCATCAAACATGATTTGGAAAATCCCCCATTTGATACATGTTTTTCCCATAGAAACATCCATTTTGATCGATTTCCAGGCACTCATGTTCAAGGGTGACCCTTATCAACATTTTGTTAACACTATTAAGCACTATCAAGCACCATCAACCACCATTTTAAGTCCCTAAAAGGCCCTGCAACACCCCGCAGACATCTACTCTTTTGCACAACTCGGCGCCGCTGCTCAGGCTTTCCCCGAGCGGCCGAACTCACTGGGGAGGGGCCCAGGAAGCGACAGATGTTGGATGATTTTGGTGATATTCAGTGGCAAACTGCATTAGATTGATGAGGTTTAAAATGGTTTTAACAATCATAAACTAGCCATTTGGTTGTGGTTTATACCACCTATAAAAATGGTGATTTGAGGGATGGTTTACTTTTGGTTTAACCACATGATCTCCATTTCTTCGATTTGTTTCTGGGGATCTTTGACCCATGACCCAATGGAAGTTGCTTCAGCGACCCCGGTTCAGCGTTCACAACAGGTCCTGCCAGAATCAGAACCACTCAAAACGCACCATGATAGCCCTCAGTAAACAAACCCAGCAATGGAAAGTCTTGAGTTTTTGGAGGTTCAGAAAATTAACCGTCAAGTATCTGCATAATAATAAATCTTGCTGAGGCTTTTTTCCCAGTCCCCACGTCTGTTTTTGCATATGCAATTGTCAAATTGATGTATATTATATATATATACATACCATATATATATATATATACACTACACACACGTAGTTGCTATGTGGTTCGGTCAAAATATCCCCTTTTGTCAGTAAACATCATCCATGTTTGTACGTGCATCTTGTTGGTACAGCCCCCCGGGCTACCCATCAGGTATACTCCCAGCAAGTGTATAGCTGCATGTTCACCCCTTCAAAATCATGGTTGATGCTTAAATTCTCTCAAAATTGCCATCGTGTTGAGAATATCCAAGTTTTGTCAACTGTGTTCCTAAATTCATCTAAATTCCAGCCGCCTTTTTAGTATGTTCCATGAGAATCTCCATATATTTCCCATGAAAATCCAGCCACCCTTCCACCTTTCAGTGCCCGACCCCGAGAAACTCCTCATCTGTGCTGGCCATGTGCACTGCACCGCCGGGAGGAGCCTCGGTTTGAACATTGATGCATTCTTGGGACAGTTCTCAATATTAAAGAGGACATTTACCCTCTGGTAAACTAACATAACTATGGAAAACCACCATTTTTAATGGGAAAACTCACTATAAATGGCCATTTTCAATAGCTATGTTAAAGTACCAGAGGGTATGTTATACCATATTGTTTCAATATAGTGTTTGAACATTCAAATATATTCAAATATTAATATTCTGAAATACTCCAGCATGGTATTTTTTCGGAAAAAAGACATGTCTCAATAATGGCGGAAGGGTTCGCAAAGCCAAAGTTGTCTCCGTTTTCTTGAGGGTTTGGAGATGTTCACTAACCAAGATCCAGATTTATGGGAGAACGTGAAGAGAACAAACGAAAATCCACAGATTTTCGACGTCCAAATGTGGGGTTCTGGCAATTCTGGGATTGGGCACAACCACAAAGAATGGGATAACCAACAAACAACCCAATGTTACGCAATGTGGATATTCAACAGCAAAGGTTGGGATTCAGCCAACAATAGTAGGGATTCTTGACGATTTAAGCAATGAGTGGTGAGCATATCAGGTCATCTCAAGCAATTTCTGTGGATATTCAGCGCTATCTTCAGCAACCATGGGGCTAGAAGACAGTTGCACGACAAGATGCAAACAAAAATTGCATGTTTCCAAGACTTACTGCAAGCATGGCTTCCCAATCCTGAACTGTTTGATCACTACTTGAAGCTCCTGTGATCATAACATACTCTCGAGGTCTAGAAGATCAAAAATGGTGTATGGAAAAGGACTAATGTATATAAACCCAAACATCCCAAAACCATCAACCGCCAATTCTTCCAGAAATGGACCGTATCATAAACCATGCCCAATTGAAGGTTTACTGTACAGTAATGAATCATAAGGTTTACAACATGGTGCTATTCGCAGCATATCAATTATTGCAAGAAAACCATCAATGAGAGAAAATAAATCACCAGAAAATCCTGTTTTTACATCATTGTTTTACCCTCTGGTGAACATAGCTTTCTGAAAACCATGGCCCATTGATAGATAATTTATGATGATAATATGATAATATCCAGAGGGTACCCTTTTTGTAAACTAACAGTTCGATGTGGAAAAAAAACACCGTTTCTGGACGATTTTCCGAAGATTACCCATTGGCCCATGGCTTTTCCACTTTCTATTGTAGGTTTACCCTAGGGTCATTACATTATCATATAAATCCATATAGATATGTATGTGTATATATATATCCATCTCTAGATTCCTATGATATATATATATATATATACATATCCATCTCTAGATTCCTATGAAAATCCCATAGATTCCTATGAAAATCCATCAAAAAGACCATGAAATCACCATGAAAATCAGCATGAAATGCCGTTGGTTCAAGGAATACTTCGAGGACCTCGCGCCAGGCCCCGCACCAGGCGCGGAACAGCCTGATCCCGTGCGGCGGAGGCCGCTGCGCCTGGGAATCTGGGAATGCAGCGCTGGGGTGAGGATCTTGGAAGATGAATAAAAAAGGGTAAATTATTAGGTAAATGATCATAATCCATCATATTAATCATTATATTGCTATAATCAACCATGTCATTTTGTTTAAAATAGGGGATTATAATACCCTATAATCATCTAATTTGATATATATATATAATATATATATATAGTCCCCTATAATCATCAATTGGATGTTAGCAATTTGGTAGTATAATTCCCTCTAGTTAATCATCAACCAAGACGGGTTCCCAATTTTTGTTGGGTACTATAATCCCATGGACTAATCATCAACCAACAAGGGTTTTGAACACTGCTCAATTGTATTTTAGCTTATACATATATTATATTATATATATATATATACACTCGGAAAAAAAGACGTTGTGATACCAAGCAACAATCATACATAGGGAGCAAAGGGAGAGCAAGAAACATGTGGGCACACAACTCATAGATTGCAGCATATGTGCCGAAACAATAAAGGGTTTACCAGTTGTTATGGACCCTCAGTCGTCCACTGTGTCTCAGACTCTTTTCAATCAAATGAGGGAAACCCAAAAGTTCGGGTTCTTTCCAGTTTCTATGGCAATGAAAAATCCTGATATTCACAACCAAAAGTTCGGCATATCATCCATACAAGAATGACAACTGTTCCATACTTGGTCAAATAAAATCCCAATATATAGTTACCCCACATCACAAGGCTTCAGGTTCAGAGTTTATCATCAGACCTCTCCCTGCCCGGCCTGCGACAACGCGAGCCTCCTCCTGTTTCTTGTCGAGGGCAGCACTGGCAGGATGCGTGTGATGAAATGACCAGGTGAATGAACCTCCGGCCATTAGAGATCTCCCAGCAAAAGTAGGATTGTTTCCCTCCCGGGAGAAAAACAAACCTTCAGACGGAGGAAGGTTGGAGGCTCCAAATTCCTTCAACAACACTTGGACATCGGCAGTTTCCCGGCTAGCACACAGCAATGACCCAACCTGTTGTATGGTGCCGGATGATGTCCGTCTTCATCATCCTGACATTGGGGAAGACACTTAAAAATATGAAAACAAGTCCAGGGCTGAAGCATCACGAACCTCGAAAATGCACCGGCCTTCCATTCCCCTTGGTTGACAGGGTGTTCATCATCCAAAAACCATATAGGAACAAGTGAGTGCCACCGCAGGCAAACATTGTTGGAATTTATGACGAATGTTCCCTGGTATTCGATTCCCGTCATTGTATCACAAATTATGATGTGTGCATTTCTTTGTACATTGCATAATGTATCAAGTGCCTGTTCATATATAATACATCCAAACACATTCAAGTACTGTATCTGGATACTTTGCAATAATCCCAAAGCAGATTCAAAACCATGTTTGATGGGTGTTTCCAATGTCAATCATATTCATGGTGAGGTTGTTTCAGGGCACTGCGTTCTGCATCATCCAATATATGCAACATGTGTTGGGTCAAAGACTGAGGTGCCACCTACAAAATTGGTGGTTTTTTGCGTTGAACCAGCACATGTTGCAAGTAAATTCCACCCATCAATGAACCATAATCATTCATGGACAATGATACATTCTGATTTAACATATTTAACTTTGAAACATAACTTCATATCCCCTTCAGTTGACACCAAATCTCCCCTACCCATGGCATCCCATACACCAAATCTCCCCTACCCATGGCATCCCATGGCCCTTTGGCCACTCATGGATCATCGCACTACAGGCCGCCTCATCCAGGAAATCGTTGAGGGATTCCCGCACACCGTCCAAATCGAAATCCTCGCCCTCACCGAAGCACATGCCATGGGACTCCACACATCATAGCCGCCATATGACAGCAAAGGTATGTTTGTTTGTGCCGACCGCGTGTATCAACAACCACAACCACCACCACCACCACCACAACCACCACCACCACCCCCACCACCACCACGACAAAAACAACAACAACAACAAAACCATACAAACCCACCACACCACACACACACAACACACAGCTACCACACAGCAACAGCCAACAGCAGCCAACAACAAAACAACCAACAACAACGGCCAACAACCACGACAACAACCACAACAACAACACAACAGCAACAACAACAACAACAACAACAACAACCAACAACAACGGCCAACAACACACGACAACAACCACAACAACCACAACAACCACAACCACAACCACAACGACAACAACAACAACAACAACAACAACAACAACAACAACCAATTACTTTACTTCGTGTGATCCCCACCATGACATTTATACATGTTCTTACTGGCACATCTTCTGGCATTCTATCTGACATATCTTCTGACATTCTATTTGGCATTCTATCTGGCATATCTTCTGGCATATCTTCTGGCATTCTATCTGACATGATTCATCTTCTGGCATTCTATCTGACATATCTTCTGGCATTCTATCTGGCATATCTTCTGGCATTCTATCTGGCATATCTTCTGGCATTCTATCTGGACATATCTATCTGGCATATCTTCTGGCATATATTCTGACATATCTTCTGGCATTCTATCTGGCATTCTATCTGGCATTCTATCTGGCATATCTTCTGGATATCTTCTGGCATATCTATGGCATATATTGGCATATTTTCTGGCATTCTACTGGCAAATCTTCTGGCACTCTATCTGACATTTTATCTTCCTAATGAGGTCCGGCAGGAACACTTGGGTGGATCTGCGGTTGAGGTCCGGCAGGGAACACTGGGCGTGGATGGTCGTGGTTGAGGTCCGGCAGGGAACACTGGGCGGGGATGGTCGTGGTTGAGGTCCGGCAGGGAACACTGGGCGTGGATACTCGCGGTTGAGGTCCGGCAGGGAACACTGGGCGGTGATGGTCGTGGTTGAGGTCCGGCAGGGCACACTGAACGTGGATGGTCGTGGTTGAGGTCCGGCAGGACACACTGACATGGATCGCAGTGGAGCAGGAGGACGAGGCAGGAGGAGGCGGAGGAGGAGGAGGAGGAGCAGGAGGAGGAGGAGCAGGAGGAGCAGGAGGAGGAGGCAACTGACATAAAATCTAACAACCCTCACCTGGCAGGTGGGGAACAAAAACAACAACCAACAAAAACAACAACAACAACAACAACAACAACAACAACAACAACAACCACAACAACCACAACAACCACAACAACCACAACAACCACAACAACAACAACAACAACAACAACAACAACAACAACAACAACAACAACAACAACAACAACCGCAACAACAACAACAAAAACCAAACAAACAAACAAACAAACAAACAAACAAACAAACAAACAGCAACAACAAGCACAACAAGCACAACAAGCACAACAAGCACAACAAGCACAACAAGCACAACAAGCACAACAAGCACAACAACCAACAACCGACAATTTTCTTTTGGTTGGGCACTTTTTCGGTGGATCCAGGTTGCACCCCACCATCGAACTCGAGCTGCAAGTAAAAGCAACTGGCGTTGGATGGTTGTCATAGCTGATCAGCCGCAACAGCCATAGTAGCGTCATGTGTGTGAAAGATATGGGTTCAAAAGCATACAGTACCAATTCTCCAACGTTGTAGGAATAATTGTTGACTCCTCCGGCTTTAGAGCTGGGTATATGTCGAAAGCCGGTCCGTACGTTGCAGAACCGAGGCACACTACAAAAATAACAATAACAATAATAATAACAATAACATATCACTGTTCGTTGACAGCTCCAATGTTTCTTAGTCAAACCCATCTTTGCCATGCCCCTCTCTGGACTGCATATTCAACTCATTATGTTTTCCCGGGTCGGCGACAGGGGACAGGGGGCGGCAGCCCCTAACAATGGGATTCTCTGGATTTAATGGAAATCCCGTCGGAAATGGATTGATAACTATCCCACAAGATGGGAAAACAATGGAAAACAACAAGTTTTGATCACCATAGAAGCAACAAAGAATGAGAGAAAGGGCAACCGTGTCCCATCAAAAAATGATCTGAAATCTGAAAAAAAAATGTGAAAGTCCCGAAATATACCGAAATCATCAAGTTGATCTACCCAACTGATCCCAGTTTTCATGGATTTCCATGCAAAAAATATCGATCCATCTGCCATGCCCTTGCCTTGAGCTTCTCGTACTCATGAGAACGGTTGGCCATCAAGCGCCCAAGGCACCTGTGTAGTGCTTGATGTTGCTGCTACTGCGAACTATCAATCATTGGCTTGGAAAAAAGGGACATGTTACAGTCGAAAGTTACTTTTCCCAACCTCCCTCCAGCTCAAGGGTGCGCGTCTCCCTCAAGAAAACTGGTGTTGCCTCAGATTGACCATAACTATACGGTTGGGGTTATTTACGTATACGTATGCATAGACTGCCAGTCTTCTATTTTATCTCATATGGTGCCAGAATTAATCAATAATTTGATTTGTTGGAACTGCAAAGGCTGCATCGGAAAATCCATCGGTCCCGTACAGTACAGATTCACCATTCCCTCGTTGCTGGCTCAGTGCCACGTAGCTGGCTCAATGCCTCGTTGCTGTCTCAGCGCCTCGTAGCTGGCTCAATTTTTTTGAACTGAAAAAAAAACGAAAAAAAAAACACGACAAAATGGAGCTAGCTACATGCCCTTGAGCCAGGTCGGTGTGCCGTCATCATGCTGGCCAATATTATGTGTTCGTTTTTTAGCTTTCACATTCGTTCGCCAGCTCAACGTGACGTAGCTGGCTCAATTTTTTCGAGATTTTTTTTCGTTTTTTTCGTTCAAAAAAAATGAGCCAGCTCGATGCCATCGAGCTAGAGCGATGTGTTTGAGCTAGCGCGGTGTTGCTGAGGTAGCTCGTTCCACTTGAGCGAGCCTGCAAAAAAATCCAAATGTGTTCAATTGCCAGGCTCAGTCCCAAATGATTCGTTTAATAGAGGTGGTACCCCTGTTGCAGCCCAGAAATTTGGGAGCCACGTTTTGGGCCAAATCTGCTTAGACAGCGGCACAACATTTAAAGTCAAACACATGACCCCTTCTGAAATTGAGCCAGCTACATGTTTTGAGCTAACTCGAAAATGAGGAAGATTGTGGATTGCCACATTCAATACAGGAAAACTCGCATATTTCATGGGGAAAACCATGGGAAAACCGATTAAGATGTTCCCTTCAAACCAGCGATTATTCCATAAATATATTGAGTTCTAGGATAATATATTCCCAGCAATTTTATTTATTGATAGGCACTATATTTTTGCCTACGAACCATCATTCACGATATTATTACTGTTGTTTTTAGATGTTATTAGTTCTTACTGACTATTGCCAGTTACTATTAGCAATCAAATAGAAATAATATTATTGCTACCAACGACTAGTTAAGTTACTAGTTGTTCGCCATTACTATTGGTTGTTACTTGACTATTCATCATTGGTAATCATGGTTCATCATTACGAATCAATACAGTATGAAAGGCAATCAATCATTCTTAATGTGGTGCATCCGTCTGACGTCAGCCCCGCAAAAAAAAAAAAGAAAAACAGTAAAACAAAACTGCGGGTTGAAAGCCGCAAAATTCAAGCTCATAGCTGATGTAGTTTAGCTTTTGATATCTGTGGACCTTACATTTTGAAGTTCAGTACTCTCGATGCTAACCACGAAGAGCAGTTTGTGACCTCACCAACATCTAGTCACCAAAAATGAGGAGATCCTCAAAGAGAGGTTTGTGAATACATGCAGTTCTTGCGTATATATAGATATGACACTGCATTCCTCTTCTCAGTGCAACAATCCTTTTCGGGGTTGCGCAGATACCAGTCGTTCGTAAATCTCACATGACATCTTGTCACGTGAGTTGCTAGCGCCATTCCCCGGAGGTGATAGGGGTTGGATGGTGGGTGAAAACGCGAAGGAGAGGCCTTGGGCCTAAACATCATCGTCATTCCATGTCGTTATCATGCTTTGCATGTATCACGACACTGCATTCCTCTTCTCAGTGCAACAATCCTTTTCGGGGTTGCGCAGATACCAGTCGTTCGTAAATCTCACATGACATCTTGTCACGTGAGTTGCTAGCGCCATTCCCCCACTTTAGACGCTAGCTTCACGTGTCTCCTTCGGAGTCCACTTCTTACCACGGGTCTTTCCACTTTGTCTCACCTCTTTTGACTTTAGTGTCTTTTCCGCTAAAGTCTTTTACCTCTTTCGAGGTTTTGGCGAGCTTGACCTCGGAGTCCAGTTCTCCGGCTTTGGCCATGAGCTCGTCCAACACTAGCCACTTGAGGTCCTTGAAGTCGACCTGGATCCTCTTCGACCCTGAGAAACCGTCGAAGATACCATTCGTCAGGCTGTCCGCCGGGGTGTTTTGATCCCTGGGCACCCATCCCAGATCCAATTCCAGCCCAGCTGACTTCAGCTGGGTTGCTAATTCCAGAAGAATTACTGACAAAGGGAATTTGGAGGTCAGGAACTTCTTCAGGACGTAGGTGTTGGAAACATTGTCCGTGAAGGCGGTCAGTTTCAGGATCGCACGCCTGCCCTTCCATAACTCGCCTACGCAAAACAGCTTGACGGCCACCAACACCGCGGTGAGCTCCAGTGCAGCAATAGCTCTAAACGGCTCGCCCTTCACGAAGGCCCAAGGTGCCGACCTTCTGTCCAACTCTATGGAAAACCACCTCGCCTCGGAGGTGTCGGAGCTTCCAAGCGACTCCCAGCCACCGATGACCACCTTTTCTCCCTCAGCCTTGGCGTCGATTCGGAAAGCCTCTATGGCCTGTCTTTCCACTGCTCTCACCTTGACCATGGGATCTCCTTCTATCTGCTTCTTGACATAGGTGAGGAGGAGACTAACCGCCTCAGGCATCTTCGCGTACACACCGCCTCTGAGCACGGCTGACCACGCGAATATCGGCCCAAGGAATGGCCTGACGTGATGCAGCGCACCCGCCACAAAGACCAGCCTGCCTAGCGCTGATCTCAGATTTCTCCCCATCACTCCCCCCGACTCCAGATGGGTGGTGATCCAATCCGCCACCCATTTCACCTTCCTCGGGGAGATACCCTTTTCGAATCGTTCCACGTCCAAATCATAACCGATCCATTGCACCTTCGTGCCACCATTTACCTTTGCCCAGCTCAAAGGTATCTCCATCATCTCCAGCACGAACAACCAGAAGAGCATGGGCTTCCAATAATATTTCCCCACGCTAACCATCCACCCATCGTCCGCGAAGAGGAGGTGCAAAAGCCCCAGATCTCTTCCGCAGAGCCGGTGAGCGGACCTCACTGCTACCGCGGCCACCCTTTGCCAGTGGTAGGCTGCCGAGGCGATCCCAAACGTACCTCTGGTGTGCACATAGACCCCGTCTTTTCTTCTCTCTCCAGGCAGCCTGAAGGCTTGCAATCCCCAGTCTTTCTCCTTGACTGGTATCAACTTGTGGGCCCCTTTAACGTCGTATACCAACGTCGCCCTGGGGCCCCCCCTTCCCTTTCCCCGCAACTTCTTCGGCTTCCAGCAGCACGGCCGACGCGTCGTCGATCAGCGGAAACCGCATCCGGTCACGCACTTTGATCCTCCGGTTCACATCGACGGAGTATGAGCCGTCATGTATCAGCCTAACCCTGTCCGAGTTGAGCTCCTTGGGCACGGCTCCAAGCGCGGCCACCGCCAGCCGCTCCCCAAACTTTTCTTTCGCCTCCTCTTCTGACAACCTCATTATTGTCCCGGAGGCGACCTCCTCATCCACCTGCCTCCAAATATCTTCTTTGCACTCCTCTGCTGAGGAGTAATTTTCCGCCCAGACCTGTCTCAGGTCTTCCTCTGTAAACTCTCGCGCCCATTTGAGCTTCTCCTCGAAAACGCCGGGCACTCGAGGCATCTCCTCGTCGACCCCCAGCGAGACACCGTCTGCCGCGATCTCCTCCAGGAACTCGCAATCCTCGTCACCTAGTGCCCTGCCGATGCTTCTGAGCCTCCTGAAGTTGATCTCAGAGGTCCTATCCCCACCTCTACGCGCTGGGTCCTCCCCGTGCTTCATCAACTCCCTATCAATGGCCGCTCTCGCTCCCCCCAAATGACTCTTGAAAGGAGATTCCACCGCTCGACCCCCTGCGAGCTTCCAGAAGACGCCTTTGCCACCGTCCCCTGTAGTCAGCAGCCATTTCAAGAATTCCCTCCGAAATACCGAGCTTATCGCCAGTGCTGTTTCGCCTGCTGGTGCCTTCCGACACTTCACTGGCCACCTCCCGGGGGAGCACAATCCCCCTCCATCATGCACCATCCTGTGCTTCCCCTTGTAATAGGCGAGCAAAGGACGTCTCCCCATCCAATCCATGTCAACCGTCCCTAGCTCCCCGGTTGACTCCTTCCCTGGCCCTCCGTCCTTGGGAAGAACCTTCTCCGATACCCCAGGTGCCCGACCTGCACCTGAGCTTGAAACCTCTCGTGAAACCGATTCCTCGAGGGTTACCAAAACCCCCGAGCTCCCAGCCTTATGTGAAACTGCATCCTCAGGGGCCTTTATTGCCCTTGAGCCATCAAGTGAAACCCTGCCCTCAGAGGCTTCTGATACCCCTGAGTCCTTACCCGCCGTTTTGGCTTTCTTCCCAGGGTTTTCCACCACCCCTGGGTCCCGCCCTGAAGCCATTTTCGCTTCAGGTCCCCTCTTGCTACCATCTATGCTTTCTTGCCGGCCCCCTTCCGAAGGAGAAGACAGCATAGATTTCAGAGCCAGTACCACTGCTTGAGCCAGAGATTCATCCATCTGAGCAGGGTAAGCCGATGTGCCTGTTGTTCTAAACGATTCTGAGTTGCTTCTTTTAGCAAGAGTGATTCTAGTTTGGCAGCCGCAAGACCGAATGGGCCCCAAATAAGCATTGGCTTCATCAAACTGAGGCCAACCTGAATACCCCCAAGACTGCAACCCAGGAATGTTAGAAATGATGCGAGTGGGTTTCTTATAGGGGGCCCCAAAACAACATTGATTGAAACCCACGGTAAACAGGCCTAAATCTAACTGCAGCAAGCTTCGCACACTTTCCGACTGCCAAATCGAAGCAGGGTCGAGTTGCAAATTGTCCTCTTCCCTGTACACTCGCCCGAGATCTTCCGGGTGCTCTGAGAAGAGCAGGACGAGCTTCCGGACCAACTGTTTGGCTTGTGCTGCAGCTCTGCAGCACTCCTCCATGACTTCCATGAGCCGATTCCCCAACTCGGCTTGTTTTCTCAACTCCTCCCTCAGCCAGGGAAACCCCTTTGGGTGCTGCTTGGACCTAATTGGGGGCGGCCCCCGCTTGTTGGCGCACCTTGCTCTGGTGAAGGTGGAGCAAGGAGGAGTGACCAGCACCACATCATAAATTCCTGACTGGATTTGTTGCATCCAGCCAGCTTTCACTGCTTGCTTCGCGAGGTCGTGCTTGCTGTCATTCATGATGTCGACCTCCGTGACCTGGACCCGCAACCCATGCTTCTGCGCGATCTTCTGCACCATCACTGCGAAAGATGTCTCTCGACTCTTTCCTGAAAACAAGTACAGAATTTTGAAAACACGAGTGGCCCCTGCGGTGCCCTTCTCCACCGGGGCAGGGCCATGCCCCGGCTCAAGGCGCCGTCACTTGGCGCCGGAGGCGCCCTCTTGCTCTCCGGCCGTGTCCTTCTTGGTCTGCTTGCACATGACATGTGGAGTGGATGCTCCGAAGAGAGGCACCTTTGGCACACATGTACCCGCCCGCACTTGAAGCGGCATCTCTCCTTCATGGAATTCCAGCGGAAGCATATCTGCCTCCCATCGGGTGTGTGCGTGTGTAGATTTTCTCTCCCCTTCTTTCCTTTTCCTTTCCCCTTGTTGCGGCTGGGATTCCAGCCCTTGTCGCCGGAACGCCTGTCTGCCCTAGGAGATCGAGAACGATCCTTCTTGTGAGCCGTCAGCGCGTTCATGGCTGCAGGGGTCAGGAAGTAGCGCTCCTTGATGTTGACGTCCTTTCTGGCTGCCAGCAGGGCGTCGTGGACTTTGGTCCCACCATTGATCTTCTTGACCATCTCCTTGCGCACCTGATGCTCGTAGGACAGCACCAGCTTCAGGCTCGGTGAGCTTATCTGGTTGCCGTCCTCATCCTCTGCTTTGAGACCCATAACCTGGTCGCTGAGCAGGTAGTCCACGTAGTTGAGGAAGTCCTGCGGCACCAAGTCGGCAAAGATGGTCCGCTGTGGATACTTCAGCCCACACATCAAGAAGGCGTGTGCCACCACCCTAAGACGGTGGCGCAGTTCCTCCGGAGAGGTGGGCTCCTTGGTCTCTCCGTAGCCCTTCTTGATCTTGAGAACACCTGACTTGTCCAGCATGCATCCCACAGGTTCCACCTCTGCGTCCTCCCTGGACAAGAACTGCTGGAGATACATGGTCTTCAGCTCACCGTTCTCCACTTGGTCAAACAGCAACTCCAGTGTTGATGCCGCTGGAGTCAACTTGTCATCCAACTTGTAAAAGGCTGCTTCGAACTTCTTGACCAAGTCTTGAACCTCCACCTTTGGAAGTGAGATAGGCAGAGAGGAGCTGGACGCCTCTGCCTCAGCCTTATGCCTCACTTCCATTCTGACCTTGGCTGCCTCCCAAGCGTCAACCAATGCCGCCACCTCCATCACGTCGGCAGCCGGATCCAGCTGCACTGTCTGTTGCGCAAAGGTCCTCAGCTGCACCCTGCTATCCGCAACTGAGTTGAACCGGCTCAGGCTCTTACAGTTGGCGTATGCCAATCTAGCCTGAGTCACTGCAGAGACCTCCTTCCTCTGCAGTAAGCCATGAAAGTCCGGCTCCAGAAGGCCGATGAATTCCTTCTGGACTTCAGCATCTGTAAAGTCTGGCGGGGGTGCGTTCATCTCGCCCACCAGACCACCGCTTGAGGAGCAAAACGGCTGCGTGCATGAAATAATAAAACATGCAAAACATCAAAACTGCAAACACGGAGTGGTACGTCAAGTCCAGCACAAACCGACCACCCCTTTCTCATTTTGCTGCCAACTCCTGTTAGAGTGACTCCGACGAGCTGGAGGAGATTTCCTCGTCGGATCCAGAGCCGTCGCTCCCTGACTCGTCCGCGCTCTTCACGGCTTTCGGGAAGCATACCCGGCAGGCTCTATGGTACATCTTCGCCTTTGGCAACTCACTCCCAAAGGACTCAAACACCCGGTAATGTACTCCAGGCTGTCGATAACACTCACCGTACCTGTGCAGGGTCTTCGTCTTGGCCCTGCCGATGATGCTCACCACATAGTCTCCCAAAACTAGGCCCGTGCTCTTCTTGGTGGCAGCATCAATCACAACCCAATCCTCGTCCTCGTCGGCAGACGACTCGGACGCTTCGTTGCCATGGGACCCCTGTGGCATGGCCGCTGCCGCGTCCTCTGACCAATTGACTCGTTTCAATGGTCTTCCCACGGTCACGAAGCACTCCAGCTTTTCCCTCTGGACTCCAACCACCCTCATATGATAGCCCAGGGCTAACATCCTGTCCTCCACCAGCTGCAAAATCACGTTTTCTCCAAAGGGGTCCACGCGGCCGATGTTCTTTCTGATGAACTCCGCCACGTGTATTTGCGCACGCACTACCTGCGCCGCAATTGACCTATCATACGGCTGGTCCACAGAGGGCGTCCAGCGTCCCAACATCTTGCAGACGGTCTCAGGCACACCGGCTGCTCCTGCCCATGTTCTCATTGTCACTCTTTCCGAGTGTTCCGACCAAATGCATCCCACGCCAATCTCCATGAGATGCTCCCACCCTCCTGTGCAAGGACACAGGAGCTCTTGGAACAGGGCCTGGCTCATCCCACTGGCGGCGGGATATGTGGCCATCCTCCTTGAGGAGTGCTCCAATCCCGTCGTAGGCAACGTCAACAGGAAGTCCCTCTCCCTGCAACCAGCCTCCTCTGAGAGCGCTTCCCAGATCCGCCATCCGGTCTCCATCCAATCGCGCTCCTCGATGTAGGCCTCCGCACTGACGATGAGCTTCAGCACCGAAATCCTCTTTCCTGGCCCGCTTGTCTTGGTGCGAGTCAGATCCGCCACAAGGGCAAAACCGTCCAATCTCATGGATCCAAAGTCGACCCCAGTGGTGTCGTGAAACCTCATTGTGCCCCAGACCTTAACCAGCTTGTACCAAGCGAAAGCCCTGGTGAAGTGCGGTGCGCCCCGCTCCATAACTTTTCTCTCCAAAGCGGACACCATGGCGACCAACAGCTGAGCGGCTTGCTTTCTTGGCTTCTGATCCGCTGCTTCCAGACGGAGCTTAACCTCTTCCATGGCATTCTTGATTGCGCCCGAAGTGTTCAACTGGAGGTCCTTTGGAATCTCTGCCGCGTGCTCCATGAACACCAGTGTCTTGTAAGCATTCACTGGGATCGAGCGCCCACATGGTTCCAGAGCCCTGGAGATAAGGTAATCCGCAAACTGAAAGGGCCTCTCTGGCCACTTGACCCCATACGTAGCCAACAGCCACCCGATGAACTGGCCCCAGGTCTTGACGTGCTTTCTAAGAGTATTGGCACGTCTCCCCTTACCAATCCTGGCTGCAAAGAGCCCCTGATTGGTGTCGGAGACATCACAGGTGTCAGCCTCCTTGATCTGCTTGGCCAGCTCCTTCAGCCACCGATTCCTCTCCGCATCCTCTACCAGATTACGCTGATAGAGATCACTGCCAGCCGCCGATTTCAGCATCGTGGCTCTTGTGGGCCATTTCACCCTGGCGGCCTCGCCCTTTCTCCTCACCTGGCTCCCGATCTGTTCCTCACGGGCCTTTCTCCTGTCCGCGAGTTTGCCCTCCTGTTTTGCCAGGCGAGACGCTAGGGCCAAGTCTGAGTCCTTCAACTCCTCATGCCTAGCCCAAATGATGCATGAGGCCTCCTCGGCCGCCTGTACAAGGTTTTCGAACTCGACCGTGTTCACCTTGTACTCCGGGTATTTCTCTTCCACTCTGAGGATGACCGAGTCCACGACTTCCTGGTCGCATCCCCAGAGAGCTCCCAGCTTGGTGGTGGTCCACCCCATGGCCTTTAAGGCGTGAGCCAGCACGTGGTCAGCCCTCACCTTCCTGGCAAGAAAGGTGAGTTCCTCCATCGTGCTGCCCCCTTCCTGAAAACGCGAAGGAGAGGCCTTGGGCCTAAACATCATCGTCATTCCATGTCGTTATCATGCTTTGCATGTATCACATGTTCTATCTATTTCTTGATTTATTAGTTGCTGTGTGTAGATAATTATATACGACATATTGAGTAACTCTTGATTACTAACTACCCACTGGTAAACTAACATAGCTATGGAAAATCACCATCTTTAATGGGTAAATCACCTATTTCTATGGCAATTTTCAATAGCTATGTCAGCCATTACCAGAGGGTATGTGGTTCAAAGCCATTTCAAACCAACCACTCGGCTTGGTGTGGTTCAAACGCCCGCTGGGCACCCGCAAAGGCCGGCCGCCAGCATCAGTAGCGAGGAGGCGAAGGATGACAAGGACAGCCTCCGCAGGGTCACGTTCCATGCCTAGCTTCAATGGATTGGTTTAAGGGAAAATCTACAGGAAACCATTGTTTTTACCATCAAATATAGGGGTTTCCTGTAAATTTTCCCATCATCCAGTTCTATGATAGCTTAATGTGGTGGGATACGGGGATGTGTATAGTATGCATTGGCTTGCAGTGGAGTGGGTGTGTTGCTCAACACTTAAGAAAGGCCATCAAACAAACTCATTTCTAATGGCGTACTAATGGCGTATGATGTGTCATACTACCAGGCTCAATGGAGGCTGATGATTGGTTTCCCCCTTTTATCATCATCCCCATATGGGAATCCAAAGCTGAACCATGGCTTCAGACTGTGGCTGCTTTAAAAATGCCTCAAAAATTCGAGGTTTCATGAGATTTCCCAAGCCTGGTGTCAGGGGCACGAAACTCGAAACTGCTCTTTTTGCCACTGCCTGCACGAAAAAACCAGGCAGTGCGTAGGGTGGTTTCAAAATGTTCAGAAATACTCATTGAGGTGTTTAGTTTTGACCCGTCCCTGCAAAGAATTATATACATCACATATATATATATACATATATATATATAATCCCCTTGCCAATACACGGGTTTATACAACCTGGGCGTTCCAATTTTATAGGGGGCCCAGGCCTATCCTTTGAAAATGCCCTTTTGGGACCCTCTATAAAATTAAAAACTTGACAGACACATACATAATCAGCCCTATAAAATCACAACCTGCTAGTAACCCATCAATGTCATCAAACCCAAAAACACTACAAAATTGCAGTGCCCAGGTTAAACTTGTGCAGGGTATTAGCGCCAAATTGGCCTCTATAAAATTAGGGCCATCCAAAATGGCTTGATCATAGGTGGTTTTTTTATTTAAAATTTGGTCTCCCAAGTCGAATTTTTGGGGCCCTCTATTTTCCTTCAATTATGTGGTCCCCAATTTTATCTCAGTTTAATAATGCCCCAATTCTGTAGACTAAAGTTTTGGGGTCATCAATCGAAGGCACAAAAGTCAAACCATTTCAAACCAACTATTGTAATCATTGAAAGACATAGGCTGCTGTTTCTGCAGCTGAAGCTGCTGAGGCTGCTTCTACAGTGCCTTTGCATGCCTTTGCCTCGTAGAATCCTTTTGGAGAGCACCCCCCCTATAGAATTGGAGCCCCTGATCGAAGGCAGTTTTTAGGGACTATAAAATTGCAGCCCTCAAGGTCCACCCAAAACCTGACATTTTTTTTGGCATTTTTTGGTTTTTCTTAAAGCATGTAGGAGCACGATGTAAGAAGCCATCAAATCCCATAAAATCCCATCGAATCCCATCGAATCCCATCAAATCCCATCAAATCCCATCAAATCACCACATATCATCACATATCATTTCATATCATATCATCACATATATCCCCACTATAAAATTAGGGACTGCTGTTTCTGCAGCTGAAGCTGCTGAGGCTGCTTCTACAGTGCCTTTGCATGCCTTTGCCTCGTGGAATCCTTTTGGAGAGCACCCCCCCTATAGAATTGGAGCCCCTGATCGAAGGCAGTTTTTAGGGACTATAAAATTGCAGCCCTCAAGGTCCACCCAAAACCTGACATTTTTTTTGCATTTTTTTGGTTTTTCTTAAAGCATGTAGAAGCACGATGTAAGAAGCCATCAAATCCCATCAAATCCCATCAAATCCCCACATATCATCACATATCATTTCATATCATATCATCACATATATCCCCACTATAAAATTAGGGACTATAGTCCCTAAAAACTGCCTTCGATCAGGGGCTCCAATTCTATAGGGGGGGTGCTCTCCAAAAGGATTCCACAAGGCAAAGGCATGCAAAGGCACTGTAGAAGCAGCCTCAGCAGCTTCAGCTGCTGTTTCCCTAATTTTATAGTGGGGATATATGTGATGATATGATATGAAATGATATGTGATGATATGTGGTGATTTGATGGGATTTGATGGGATTTGATGACTTCTTACATCGTGCTTCTACATGCTTTAAGAAAAACCAAAAAATGCAAAAAAAAATGTCAGGTTTTGGGTGGACCTTGAGGGCTGCAATTTTATAGTCCCTAAAAACTGCCTTCGATCAGGGGCTCCAATTCTATAGGGGGGGTGCTCTCCAAAAGGATTCCACGAGGCAAAGGCATGCAAAGGCACTGTAGAAGCAGCCTCAGCAGCTTCAGCTGCAGAAACAGCTGTCCCTAATTTTATAGTGGGGATATATGTGATGATATGATATGAAATGATATGTGATGATATGTGGTGATTTGATGGGATTTGATGGGATTTGATGACTTCTTACATCGTGCTTCTACATGCTTTAAGAAAAACCAAAAAAATGCAAAAAAAAATGTCAGGTTTTGGGTGGACCTTGAGGGCTGCAATTTTATAGTCCCTAAAAACTGCCTTCGATCAGGGGCTCCAATTCTATAGGGGGGGTGCTCTCCAAAAGGATCCCACAAGGCAAAGGCATGCAAAGGCACTGTAGAAGCAGCCTCAGCAGCTTCAGCTGCTGTTTCCCTAATTTTATAGTGGGGATATATGTGATGATATGATATGAAATGATATGTGATGATATGTGGGGATTTGATGGGATTTGATGGGATTTGATGGCTTCTTACATCGTGCTTCTACATGCTTTAAGAAAAAACAAAAAATGCCAAAAACATGTCAGGTTTTGGGTGGACCTTGAGGGCTGCAATTTTATAGTCCCTAAAAACTGCCTTCGATCAGGGGCTCCAATTCTATAGGGGGGGTGCTCTCCAAAAGGATTCCACGAGGCAAAGGCATGCAAAGGCACTGTAGAAGCAGCCTCAGCAGCTTCAGCTGCAGAAACAGCAGTCCCTAATTTTATAGTGGGGATATGTGATGATATGATATGAAATGATATGTGATGATATGTGGGGATTTGATGGGATTCGATGGGATTTGATGGGATTTGATGGCTTCTTACATCGTGCTTCTACATGCTTTAAGAAAAACCCCAAAATATGTTTTTTGCCATATTTTTGTTTTTTTGCTTGAAGCATGTAGAAGCACGATGTAAGAAGCCATCAAATCCCATCAAATCCATTCAACTCCCATGTTTTTTTACAGGTTGTTGTTCATGTTTTCCTCTTCTCCAGCATGCGCATTGCGCATGCTTGAGCGCTCTGATGTAGAAAAAACATGCAAAAACAAATAGGTGCTATAAAATTGGGACCCTGGAATGCATTACATTGCAGGTAGCTACAAAATTGGAACCCTTTGGTTCATGAACCATGCATTGATACACTATAAAATTGGCAACTGAACAAAACCATACAAAACCGACACATGTCCCTATAGAATTGGAGCCTGCTATAAAATTGGAGCCCTAGGTCACTAAATTTAAGCACCGAAAAAAATATAAAATTAGGACCCGGAGTTTTGAGATAAAATTAGAGCCCGCCAAAACAAGGCAAACTGGGCAGCTGAAATTGAGCGGGGACCTGTATAAAAAAATCGTTTTATACAGCACCTAGGTGTCCCAATTCTATAGGGGAAACTGGTTGGGGGATTATATATATATATATACATATGATGTATATACGTGTATGTATATATATATAATCAACTTGTGCTTACGTGGTGGTTTGGGTTGGTGGTTTGGAAGTCTGGGAGTTGATGGTTTTGTAAACTTAGAAAAAACAAAAAATATCAAACCCTGCAAACAATGAAATCGTTGAAAATAATGAAAACAAATGTAAAACAACAATGATTGCTACCAGATTAGGTTTGTTTTTGAATTGATATTCATCTTGTATCTCGGAAAATGTACACTTATTTAATGTCCAATAATTTCACGTGATTGTTTAATTGATTATTGAATTCTAGTGCATTTTTCTGTACTTGTCTATTTATTTTTGAAATGGGGGAAAGACAGTTTCTTGAAACCGTGTGGTCCTATCCTGTACTCTGACTGATGCAGGTTTCATGGATTTTCCATGGAGCTTCCATGCAGGTTTCATGTTGGAATTTAGCTTACTGGTGGGTAACCTCCATGACAACTCCCTGGAACCTGCATGGAATCTGCATGGAACCTCTATGGAACCTGCATCAGTCAGTGCATGATAAAACCAACAAGTGTAGATAGAGGCACCACCTCCATAACGCACATGGAAACTGCATGAAATTCTACATCAATTCTCCATGGAACCTGCATGGAACCTCCATGAAAACTGCATCAGTTAGAAGGCGCCATGCAACCATCACGTTTAGACACAAGAAACAACGGTTACCTACATGAAACCTCCATGAAACCTACATCAATTCTCCATGGAACCTGCGTGGATACTCCATCAAGGAAGACGCCATACAATCATCAGGTGTAGATACAGGGAACATGTTCGAGTTTTTTTGAATGGAAACTACATGGAAACCATCAGACGCTTTGACGCAAATTGATCGCAAATCGATCGTAAATCGATCGTAAACTGATCGTAAAAAAAAACGCACAAAAACTGTCATAGCATCTGTGCGCTTTGATGTCGTTTTCACTAGGTCATCTGTCTTTGCTGATGTTTCTTTTGGTTTCTGTACTGGAAAAGTCAAATTCTTCCAGAGTTTCTATTTATCCTGAGTGTTCACTGCTTGGTGGTTTTGATGTTGGCAAGGCCAGGGTTTCAAGTGTGGACTTTGTAATGTGTCATTTTGATGTAGGATTTCGACGTTGTTTTGCGATCATTTTGCGATCCTTTGTCGATCGATTTGACATCGGCCTAAAAACGAATAAGAAGGCCATAAAACAACATCAATATGACATCGACAAGAACCTAAGGCCTGTAGAAAACGGCACTTGCCAATTCATATGTTCATATGGTTTGGTGATCATAGAATCCAAGATGACATAAGTGAGTTCATTTCTCTTGGTGGTTTCGTCTTTTCATTAACTTAGTTTGCAATATTATATGTTAGGAACCTCCATCAAGTTGACACCGAGACAGACATAAAACTCCATCAAAATGACATCAAACAAAAATTCA